CTTAAATAGTCGGTATCCACACTTACTGCTCTTGACATATGACCGTATCTATGAACCTCACTAATTTTTTAGCCATTTTTGGGAGTTTTACTTTAATTTAGGTATTATGAATATAACGAGGTATTGGACGGACTGAAATTTGCGTTTGAAAAGTATGTTTTATCCTTTGCAATGGCCGCGCGTAACTTATTGTTTCGGGTATCAAAAATTATAGTTCACCTAAAAATGGGATACAAGGGTCATATGCACGTATTTATTCGATAATTAGTCTTGTTAAAGAATGAGTTTATGTGCAGCGTAGGTCGCAGGCGCAAATTAGCGGCCCCTTTGAGCTCCTTCCTACCACAGCTGATCGCCTTCTTCGCACGACTGTGCCATGGCTGACAAGTCAGTAGGCACGATAAAGGTGAAATTTAACGGTCAGTTGCTTCAATTGGATGGTTTTTCAAAGGAATCACCCATAGGATCTCTCAAAGAGAAACTTTATGAATTAACTAATGTTCCTCCTAAGAATCAGAAGCTTTTAGGCTTGGTTGTTGAGAGAGGTAGGCAATACCAGGGCTTATTACCTATTTTAAGGTCAGATACTCTCCGATGAGCTTCCTCTTAAGTACTTGGTCCTCAAACCAACAACCAAATTGATGTTAATGGGTAGCACAGATGAGGAAAGAGTAAGTCGTGTCAAAATTAAAACCATTTTCTAGAACAAAGTTATCGAACTGTCAAATATTGAGCCTCCAGATGTTATTGATGATTACGATTTTACAGAGGAGGACTTAGCAGTGTTTATGAGGCCAGAAAATCTGGAAAAACTTGCCAAACGGTGTAATACGTACAAATTCGTTAAAATAGCCGAATTCAGACTTGGTAAACGCCTCCTTGTTCTTGACATCGACTACACAATTTTTGGTGCGTTGAATTTGCCTTGTGGTTTATAAGACCTTGCTTTAGATCACCTAACACCGGCCGAATCTGTGAAGCACTTGATGCGACCCTATCTCATACCCTTCCTCACGAGAGCCTATGAATTCTATGACATAGCTATCTGGTCGGCCACTAGCATGACATGGATCCTGGCCAAAATAAGTCAAATGGACCTGATATCACAGACTATTGTGAACAGGGTTCGTCAAAGACGGGTGGATGCTGATAACGAGGATCCAAATTTTGTTCCCAATCTGGGTGCAGATCTCGAGGATATGGATCGGCCCTTTAAAATTTGTCTGCTGGTTGATTCTGGAGCCATGATTAGTGTCAACCTCCCTGATCATGGTGTCAAAGGTGTAAGCTAGCAATTGCTTCTACTGCAAATAACTCAACATCCCAACGTAACGTAAAAGTAATATTTACTTAATCACTACTGTTTTTTGAGCTTGCCAAATTTTTGAACGGGGTGACTCTATTCCTAACTGCCCTTTTAGGTGAAGCCTTTGGCCGTAATATGGCGGAAATTTCCTCAATTCGGTCCGCACAACACTATAATGTTTGACGATGTTCGTCGGAATTTTGCCATGAATCCCGGTTCCGGCCTTCGAGTGGGTGTTTCGATTACGTCTACCTGAATTCACTCCTGTGCATAATTTTTACATTATTTGTTGTACTAGATTCATTCATATCGTGACGCAAATGTGAACTATGCCGAGGATAGGGAGTTAGAACACCTCGCGGACTACTTGGAGTTGATCGCCCTGCGTGAAACTGACTTCCAACGGCTGAACCACGATAAATGGAGTCACTACGTGGAGAAGCATCAGCGTTACCTCTCCAATCACCAGAAACGAACCTCAGACGAAGCCACTGAGGGGAACTGCGAGGGCCAGGACCAGAAGCGTCCCTCCCTCTCCTAAGGTGCTCTTCTTACTTCCTCTCCTCTTTCTATACACACTCCAGTTTCGTTTTTAAGTGTAAGTACTTAAAACAGAATCTATTGGTCGTCTCGACCGTTGAATGCGGTGTCTTGCTTCATCCTGGATACTTCTAGTAGAAAGCACATTTAGAAGGTGAAGGTTTCGTGCATTTGTTGAGGGAAGGGGGAACAAAATCAATCCGCTGGTAGCGTATGTCCGATAGGGGTACTGGACCGTTTTGGCTGTTTTTGCTTTCTCCTCCACTTATATTCTGTCGCATTTAGTCCCCACGCGACTAGTGACGCATGAAAGTTGGTTACCCATGTTTGTTCAATTGGATGCTTATTCATGTCCTTCATCGGTTGTCTTCTTGCAGAGATTTCAGTGCTCCGAAGCACCTTTTCACGCCTTGTACGACTAAGTGGAGAGGGCTTCCACAGTCTCTAGCATTAATGCGAGTATGTTTACCCCTTTCTAAAGCCTCCACGTTCACGAACCCATGATACTTATCCATAAAAAGCAGGCCCTTGGAAAAAATTCCGAGAGTTAGTCTACGGGCTGCAGGGACATCCACAAGTGTAATAGGCTGTATTAGCGTTTTAAGAGCAAGGATCACATCCGAAAAGGAAGCTTTTTTGTCTCTCCCAACGGCTTCTTCATTTCCTAACTAGACAGCTATCAGACGTTCACCCGGGCCAATTTCCCTATCAAAGCACTTTTACAGGGCGTCTGCAAAACAATGATATTAAAATCGTGGTAGGTGAGGGCTCTTATGTACAGGCAAGAAATACAATGAGTGGAGATGGGGGGTCAATCGATGGCTTCTGAGGCTGCTTGAAGGGCTTCCAGACTTCGAGAGGAGGGTTTGAACGACATGCGTGAACGATTGAAATGCAGATCCATCTTGCCTACTGTCCCATCGTAGCGATTTTTTACCACCTGGAAGGCAAAAGTGAAGTATGAGATAATGCATACCAGTTACTTGACACGATTTTCCAGGCTGCAGGCGGAATCTTAATGTGTGCACCAGCTTGTCATTCATCGAATGTCACCAGGAAGGAGTGACTTGTTACCGACACCAATCACCAACTGGAAAGCGAGCTTACTCGTGTTCATTACACATGTCAATGCAGTCTTTTTAAACTTGTCAAGCGAAAGCCTAATAACTGGCATTTGATGGGCTGAGTTTCCTTCAGGTTTTAGTTATATCATGACTCGAAATTTCGATTAGACGTGGCAAAGTACACCAACTCGCCTGTTAAATAGAGTTATAGAGGAATATGCAAAAGCCTAATTCATAACCCCCCGCATTGTGTTAGTAATTGCACCAGGAAGAATGAACACTCTTGTATCAGTCGGAATTATGCACCACAATCAGGGCAAAGCGTATGAAGGGTAAAAAGGCAAATTAAACTAACGTAACACTCACATTAAAAGCTTATTTAATTGCAGTTTGTAGACAGATACATTAGGCAAAACCATCTCGCTCTCCAAACTGTTTATTAAGAGAAACAAAGAAACCGCCGCGGAAACCTGCTAAAATCCCTTCACAGGATTTCGGATTTGCCTTTTTGTTGGTATGACTAGCAAGGTCACCGGGGTTAAGCAAAATATGGTCTATTGTTCAATGATACAAAAACTGTAGTGACTGCGACTCAAATAACATTTACAGTGGTGTCCTTACCCGGACCGTTATGTACAAGTAAACGTCAACTTCAAAGTAGCTCCTCCAATTTATCCCTAAAAACGCTTACCACTTATTACTAGTTTGCCGATAAGTTCGGTGGTGAAGTCCATGTCTTTGTGTCACGAAGAGTATGGATGCCAAAGCAAATGGATGAGATTTTGATCAACTACGCAAAGCTAACATTTTTTGAATGGAGTGAGAATTGGTACCTGGAGCTTTCTTTGTAACCATACTAATTTCTTCCACATCTATCTTCGTTTTCAAGGTGCGTGTTGAATACGATAAAAATACGACCGGTACTGGTTAATTTACCCTTGAGACCCTGGTGGTGAAGGTGATTAACTACACAAAGCCAAAGCAGCAACATTAACATGTCTGTCAACTTAATCATACCTTCATATTAGTGAATCTCCAACACCCTTCTTCAACCATTGTACACCATCAACAGACAGTCATCACGATCCTGTCGTTTGAGTAAACATATCTCCATACCATTTCATCGCGATGACATCTATTGTTACTGAGAAAAGAAAACTGCCAACAATTCCTGTATTTTACTAAGCATGTTTGATGCCATACGTTCACTGTTAAGTTACTACGGCAGTCACACTTTTGCTGTGGTAAATTCTAAGCAGGTTCCCTAAAAACTAGTTCAAGACGTAAAATGAGGCTTTTTGTAGATATTGACCATCACAGGCAAAATCCGAATTCACCTGTAAATACTTCTTCGGGACAGCAGTATCTACCTCCTCCTGCACCAGGAGAATGTTGTCGGCCTCCTGACCGATTTTTCCACCCCCATAGAGGGAGCTGATGGTCAGCAGTTGGTCGCTGTCCACCTTGCGTGGGTGCACGACAAGAGTGAGATGGGCACCGGTGTCAGTAGCGAAAGCGCGCAAGCGTTCTACGAAGCGGTCCTGTCGCTGGAACTTATCCTCTATTCCCTGGCTTCCAGTGCAGCCCATCATGAATTGCAAGTTGTCCAAAATCACGTGTTCAACTGCATCACGTTTCACGCTCTCCTCCAACGCCTGTGGAAGGGGAGTCAAAAGACAAATGAAAAAAACTCACCCAAAACATAAGGTGCGCACTGTTAACACAATGTGCTGAGGTAAAAGTTACAACACCCCTTTAACTCTAATTATGGTCTGTATTCGCATAATATATGGCCGTAAAATATGGGAGCCTAATAGGATTAAGCTAAATGTTTGAAAATAAGGACAATCCAATGTAATGGGAATAGGTTTTTTAAAAATGTCGGACGCATACATAGGAATCCAAATACAAACTACCCTATAACAACCTCAGCCCGCAATAGCTTGAGTAAGCTAATAAAGAACACGCTAATCTTTTATTAGAGTGAAATGAAAGCCTAGAACAACTGTCCATGCTCCCAAGCGTTCATAACAAGGCATGAAATATTATGGACTTAAATAAGTTATTAAAACACTGGTATCTGACATACTAAAAAAACCTCCTTCTCAGAGGGACGGCCATGCGTATTTATAAAGAACATCGGGATCTCATGCTGGAAGGCAGACGCCCAGGCCGCAACGCGCATGGGTGTTTGTAAATAAAGCTGTTCACTAAAAGTTTTACGAAGGATGAGCAAGGGCTTCGTCGTACCCGGCAAACTGGTGCAGAAGAGTGCGACAGATCCGCGGTAGGGGCATTTCGAAGCTACCCCAGAGGGTTCGAACACCCTGTTCGGCCAGATCGAGGGAATACTCGCAAGCAAAGGTGGTCTTGCCCACTCCTGTCTTGCCAGAAAGTACGGTCATCTCATGGCTGCGGAAGCCTCTAAGAAGCTTATTCAGTTCCTTAAAACGTTGCCATTGAATCCCCTGTATTTCGACGACGTTGAGGATTTCATTTAAAGTTTTCGCCAACAGGTCGCCGTCAAATCTAATTATTTTCATTACCTATCCAAAAGAAGAGAAAGGGGTCTATAACGGAGACCGTTAACAATAAGATGTGACCCTTGCAAACGTATGCAATGAACTGTCTTGAAGGAATAATGACCAGTGAATAGATGCGCAAATGAAAATAAAACAGACGTCGGTAAAACATCTGAAAAACCTGCAAATTACCACAAGGACAACTAAATAATGCTAAACCAATCCTAACAAAAGGGCCATGACTTTGGGCAAACTAAATACACATCCTGTCGCAACGCCCCACCATCAAAACGAAAGAATTGCGCTAGATCAAGAACCTAACCTCTAGGCAGTAAGCAAAACTCAAAACTATATTTTTTTTCTACTCTTACAGCAACACGAAACTGGTACAACGCCACGATAGAGGGTAGGCACGCCAAAGCACCTCGAGGCAGAGCAGACCGAGTAAGGCCGGCCACCACAGAAATGGCCTTGATCTCTCGAGATGACATCGTCCGAAAATGCATGGTCACTATCCATCTCACCACTAAATCTAGTTTATATATGTTTAACCATTCACCTTCATATCAAAGCATTCGCGCAAGATAATTACTAAAAAATGTAATTTATTAACTCGTTAGGAGGACAACGCATCAAGCATTACAAATGGAAAACAGAATTTGAATTTGAACATGAGCAGCTAGAGGATGACACAATGGTTTGATGTGGTCCTTCGATTTCACATTTACGCAAGTCACTTTGCACACAGTGAAACGTAGCACAGTCAAAAATTGAAACTTAGTTTAGCTCTTAATTGCTTTTATCTGTTCCTGCACAATCTTCTTTTTTTATTATAACCGTCGCTTTAATTTGAACACAATTTAAATATGTGCAAGTCAGGCAGCAGTCTGCTATCTAGCCTTAATCTGCAACTAACTCGGTTGTCCACGTCCCTCTTGCTTCTGCCGGTTTGGGTCTTTCGACGCCCGATAATCATTGAACTTTTAGAAGTACGTTGTATTGATATGGAATTGGAACTTATGGAAAAGGTTAATGAATTAAGTGAAATCTGTAAGGAGGTAGTCGTAAGTTTGCTGTCCGCTCATTTGCTGTGCATGCTAGGTTGCAGAAGGCAGGTGTTCATCTCAAGTTTCCTCTCTCGAATGGGGTCAAGTTAAAGTCCATAAGGGTAAACATTCTGTGGAGCAAAAAAGGCTTTGGAACAAAAAGCTTCAAGAGGTGTTCCATGATTTAGGGTCCCTTCAGAAGTAACTCATGTATATTGACTTTTATACTCTTCTTAGAGCTCTCCTTCGAGCTCAAGACAAGATTTTTGATTTGAGAGCACTCGAGCACAAAATAAGTAAGTTAACCGTGGGTCTTATGGCAATATTTTTAACTCGAGAAATAGCTAAGGGTCCCAGAAATATGCGTCGGGGAGTTCTCATGTCACTTCTCCAAGAAAGTGCAAAATCCATCCCTATGTGGGCAGGGGGTGTTGATGAACCGTTAGTTGCTTTTCGTTTTATTAATAGTGCGATCTTGGTCTTCTCAACTGGGCATTTAACCCACATTTCAGTCCGCCTCCCCTTTGCGGCGCCATCGGTGCTGGAAATAATCTCGACACCAATTTGGTCGCCCCTGGCGATTATGTCGCAGCTCTTGTGCCTGATCTAGAATGTCCCGATGCAGAGTTTGCACCCAACGAAAGCTGGATACTTGCTGAGGTGATATCCTTTAACCGTGAAAAGCGTCAGTTCCAAGTTGAAGATGTTGATGCCGAAGAGGGCAAAGTGTGCGTCTGCAAATTCCCTTGTTTATTAAGCTCTTCATTGTGGCCAACTTTTGATTTAAAGTATGGTTTTTACGTTATGTATTCTTGTGTGATTTATTTCTGTTAAAGCTTGGCTCTATCTGCTTAACGTTTGACCAATTTTGCTTTTTTGTTGGTATTATTGCAGTCCAAAGTGAGTTCCTATTCTTCACCCTTCAGTTTCTGATATTTTAACTTTTGGTATTCTCATTTTGCCCATTCTCAGCCGCATAATTGCTTTGTCAGGAAAAAATTCAATTTTAACTTTTTTTAAATGATGATCCGCTTTGCACTGTTCTAAATCAAATTGCTTACCATCATCAAATTTCACATTTTTTTGCCCCAGGTGATTGGAGTATCTTGCGGCACTTCTAAAATGTTTACAACCGTAATCATGCTCCTTTTTTTGGTCCCTTTCATCAGGTAGCAATATCTCAGCACTAATGCGATTTTGCATCCTGCTGGACATTACTTTTTCTCCTAAATTAAACCCTTTCTTGACACCTTCCTTCAAAACTGCAATCGGTTTTCGCCCGAATTATTTCACTTTTTTAGACTAATCTGTCCTTCGTTTTTAGACGCTACACTCTAGATCGTTCAAAGGTGATATTATTGCCGAAATGGAAGGCTAATCCTGTACTAAATCCGGATGCTGTCTATCACAAGGGAACGGTAAGAGCTGCGCCTTAAATTCTTTTTTTTTCGTTCTGTGACACTCTGGTCATGAAAATCATTCTTATCTGGATAACGATGGATCTCGTTCCTATCCCTTAAGCTGGTTCTTGCACTATATCCTCAAACAACGTGTTTTTACCGAGCCGTTGTGGATACCTATCCAACCCACGTAAGTCAGTTTGTGTATTTTTCAATTAACTTCCCACGCGCAACGATTGTATATCTCTGAAATAATGTGGAACTTGTCCACGAAATACCTTATTTTATCCGTAAGTCATCATTTACTCTGGTGAACTCACCTGAATGCAGATACAAATGCATAATTCCATAAAGCAGTTTTTCCGGTTGTTTTTGCTTCTTTAAATCGTAGAAAGCATATCGACGCTTCTCTGCCGATGAGTTTAACAACACTTAAAAGGAATCAAATGGAAGCTCAATGTATTCATAATGTGCCCCTAAAATTAATCTGCTCGAACTTGAATGCCGACGCACTGTATATATTGATGTATATTCTAGAGACCCCTGTTGAATCGTGCGACAGTCCATTGCTGCACTTACATTGTAGGCGCAAGACGAGTACTCTCTCTACTTCGAGGATCCCAGTTACCCTGATGGGTACGCTCCATCGATTCGCATTCCACAGCGCTACGTAATTCTCTGTCCCGAAACCGACCACAAAAGCACACGACAGGGTCGCAACCGGCTATCCGGAAGGAAATCGTAGATTTTTTCCCTGTATAGTTTTCGCAAACATCAGTTAATAATACTCATCGTTCCCAATTTATTTGACTCTTAATTGCATGAACAAAAAGAGGTCGAGGTCAAACTTGAAGTGATTTTGGGGCGAAATTTCATGGCTCCTCTAAAAGCATACTGTAAAGTGTATCTAAGAGGTCGAAATGCACGAGGGGATCTGTTTCCTCCGATGGGATATTAGGACTGTAGGAGTTTTCGGCATTTATGAGGGCGTCGTGAAGAACAAGGGATCTCATCCCGTTGATACTATGTACGAGGTCGCTAGCGGTTGCATCCTTGGGGCCCTTCAGCTGGGTCAGCTTTTTCTCTATATTGTAAGGAGGTAAGAAGGTACGGAGCCGTACCCAGTGTGGCAATGTATTCTTCAGATGTCTTCGTGTCCATTCCCAAGTCATGTAGGTACGTTGTCGTGATCATCTAAGACGCCAGCAGAGCTCGAGATGAAGAAAGATCGCTGAATTAGAAGGACCTAGACACAACAGGATATGGGATTAGACGAAGGAAGTGTGTTTTTGAACTTCCAGGAGTCGTCAGTACAATAGAGTCGTATCACAAGTTGTAGCGGTTCAGTAATATTCTTTTAGAACAAAGAAGCAGTCCAAACATTACCCTGGCACGGGACGATACGCGCACCAGCTGCAAGGGAAAGGTGGCGCGAGGTGCGAAATACATTCAAACGCGGTTGATAAGGCGCAGTCCTAAAGGGAACGTACAAACCAAAAAAATAAAAACAGTAAAAACAGGTGTAATTATTTTTTGGTAAAGCTCAAAATGGCTTTTACACAGTTTTTTATAATTTCATATTAATAACTGAGTTCACCAATAACAAGCTTATATTACTGTAGCCTTCAACTTTTTATTGTTACAAAAAGTTGTATTAGGGTAGTAAAAAATGTATTGGCAGCATACACAAGGGCTAACACCACTGACATAGCTCTAATCCATGCTCCAATGCAAATGTACAAGCAGTGGCGACCAGGTCACCCATGCAATTAACCTCCACTAGGAACATGCCTTTACTGTAGGACGGGTCCCTTAGATCTTGTCCCTGGTCATCATACTCTTAGAACACCCAGGTTGTTTCCGATTCGGCATGTCTATTAGGATGAGTAAATGGGGAATGCAAATACAAGTTGGGGGGCGTGGACACGGGTTGCAGGCCACTGACTCCTCAGTCAAGAGGCTTGAGTTGTACCCCCTTCCTCTCTGGAAGAATCACTAAAATGGCAAAAACATTGCACCTACAGCTCTACACAATAACTAATAAGTTGAAACGTCTGTCTGGTATTTTCCTGCGACTTTTTAATTGGTAAACATGCCTTGTCTTTAGAGAAAGTAATAGGTTTAAAAATTGTGCAAGTTCTGCGGTTGGATTTGATTTCGCAGCCAATTAAACCCCCGTGTTTGTATTTAAGCTGGAAACAAAGGCCTTCAAGACATGCAAGTGAGCCTCAGCCCTTCTTTACCTCAGTTCTACGTATGCTATTGAATCAATACGACTTTCATCTTTACCAAATACTTGGCGCCACTGTTCATCTGGTAGAGTAGATTTTTTATAGGTGGGTCTGTTTTGTAGAATAGCATCGAATTTTTTTGAGCCTGCTAAGATGGCAAAGTACTGTAGAGGTTTTCAAATTGTTCTGAGACTAGTAAAATGTTTTTTTTTATAGCGTACACTTTCGCACTTGTTGATGTATGTACGCAATGACAGGTCCAACCTGCGCACCAATTTTCACAGCTCTCTTATATTGATGTCACCAATGTTCTGGATTACGAGTAGAATTTATTAGTGTTTCTATATGTTTATTATTTGCCGTGTTTGAACTGTTTTGATCTTACAAGCTGTGCGCGCGACTTTAGTTTGGTTGGTTTGTGGATCTCCTGAGGTTTATTTAATGTGTGGCTAGCTTTATGCTAGCTCTCGACTAATCAATCCTATTCTGTTGTCGTTAAGGTCATGTGTTGATACCTTTAGTTGGAGGATTTTCGGCCATAATTTTCCAAGTATTGTTTCTGGAATTTGGCTACTGATTTGCTCCCTTTTTGTAGCTGAAATGAAAACTCGAGATATCTCAAGTGGTGAAGTATCTTCCATCAGCAGCGACGATGAGGAGTTACCAATGAAGGCGCTATGTATGGTCGGTGTATTTTTTGACAGATCTAATCTTTTCTAGGTCGTCATTCGCCAGAACAAGTCAGACCGAGTAAGGGAGTCAGAAATCGCGTTTGGCAGTCGGTTGTGCTTGAAAATACTCTTGAGAACGCTTTCAAAAGCACGGCTCTCGAGTCGGTGAGAAATATTCCTTTTTCTGCTCATATGGGTACTTCTGTAGGATAAGCTGACAATGGTTAATCGCGGTGCTGAAAGCTACCGTTTTGATGAAAATGAGGTCGTTGTGGAACCGGTCGCTTCAATGGAACAACGGCCTCCCAGCCGTAAGCGGCGCCTTAGTGAGCGACTTGCACCTCGATCTTACGATAGAACCATACCTCGTGACCATTACGGTGTCAATTTTGACAGCTCTTCTGATGAGGCTGTTTCAGCTATCGCAAATTTTTTGGAAGAAGATCGTGAGGACTTGATTGGTAAGCCGATGCGTGTAGTCTCATCTGCACATATATGATCCCAATTGGGATGTTAGCTCTTTTCCGCATAGGGAAGAAAGTTTTAAAGGATGCGTGGTCAGGATGCTTTAATGAAGACTATGGATTGAATCAATGTAGGCTTCCGCTTTAACTCCGTTAGGTTTGGCGTTGTGTCATCTTTCTTATTACCACCATTGGTATTTTGAGTATTGGTTTCGCTTTGATATTTTGCACTTCTCCTGTTGCCTTTTTATTTGATATTTTTGTATTTTAGGGCGGATTGTAAAAACAATCGGTGTGAAACGTGCACTGGAATTCTGCTACCTTACCGAAGACATTGAAAAGTGTGGAGGTTTGTGCACTATGGTACGGTTTCTCTAGATTTTTTGATAATCGCCGTGTGGGGGCTTTTCTCACTACCTGATGATCATATTCGGTTGGGTCGTGGTCCTAATTTTCATCATTCTCATGTCGGTATCGTAGATTAAAGTCTTGGGAATCTTACCCCTTAACATTCTAATCGCTCTTCCCCCAAATGCATCTGAAGTAGGCATTCACGAATTGTTTAACTCCTCCGACTCTATATATTAGTCATTTCTCGCCACTTTCCATTTCAGGATGGAACTCGGCGCAGAACTCCTGGCGGTGTTTTTTTTGTCCTAATTCGACGCTCTGACCAGGTTTCCAAAGATGAAAAAAAGATAATCTTCAAGGAAACTTCAGTGACAAAACTGTTCAAAAAGCGGTAATATCTATATGTTTTTTCGCCTTTTGTCGGTTCATATGATGAAAGTTTGGATTTTTTAACTGCTTACTGCTAGAGTGTCTCGGCTAGTAGTCAGCACTCTCGATACCTAGGTCTTGGAGCTGGATCAACCGCCACAACCAAGATGTTTTACTGTTCAAATATGACGAGAGACTTAAAACCCAGTTATCGTTAGATCGGGATCTTTAAAATTCTGGTTTGTTATTTTAAAGGCGGCTGCTGTCTGTAAAACACGGTGTAGTTCATATAGCTTAAACTTGTAAAGAATACGAAGCGTATTTGTGACACTAGCTCTTTCCGGTGACCATTTTAAGTCAACAAAGGAGTCTCTATGCTTCAAGTCATGTATTTTTAGTCATAAGTCATTCTAATGTGCTTGTTTGGATCTCCACAGCAATAAAAATCATATTTAGGGTTGTTAAATGTTTTATTAAATGATTTTGCATCGAATATGGCAGGATTTCACTCCTATCTCGTCTCGGTCGTTTTAGGCTTCGACAATCGCATCGACGGCGAGCGGCTGCCTCACAGGCGCAGGAGCAACCCCCTGATTGTGAGGCGACTGTCGACTTTAAGGATCTGCCCTCACCTGATGTGTATATCGAGTAACTGAAGGCGAAGTACTACGTATCTTTTTGCACTATTCCCACCTAGCTCGCTGTGTAAAGCTTCATCGTTGCCCTGGAGGCTCCTCTTTCTAAATTTACCTGGTGAGTGGTCTTTAGCCTTTGTTTGAAATGCTCTTACATTTCAGTTTTTGTCGATTTTGTGGCTTGTATTTTTTTGCACCATAGGCATTGCCTCAGTCGGTTCGGTGCGTTTAATGAGGTATGTCCCGTATGATGCTTTTGAGAACGGATATCTTATCAGCGTCCAGCTGAATTGTAGTTACTTACATTTTATTTCTATTCTGACGGGCATTTACTCGAAATAACTTTATGTTTTCCCTCTTAGATCTGTTTTTGTGCCGAGCGGTCAAATGAAAACCTGTTTAGCCAAAATAGTTTTGTAATAAAAGGATGCCTATTCTCCCTCGACTCTCCAAGTTGTATATTGTTTCAGAAAATAAGCTTATGTAAACACAACTTTCTTTTTAAGGGCTTTCGGGTTTTAAGTTTTGTTCTAGTTAGGGATATCCAAGAGTAGCTTGTGTTCAGTTTGGCAAGCATTTGCCTTTTAGGGCTGAGGTGTGTGACTGTCTAGGTGCTGGTCTTTACTTCAACAGGTGGAATGGGCGAAATTGAGTCAGTAAAGGACCGTAGATTGGGGAGATAGAAGTTTCGGGTAACTTAGTCCCTGCAGTTTGTGCATCTGCAGTTTCCTAACCCTTCTTCTAAGCTGACATGGCTTACTGTGATCTGGGGGGAGGTCCGGTACGCCACGTTGGAAGTGATGTGGCGTTGAGTTGACTTACTTCCAGCTGAGAAAAGTTCTAGTTTTGCTGACTGGCAAATCTGGATGTTGCAGCAGCTGGTCTACCCTCTGTGCGTGGGTGAATCTGCGGAGACACCGCAGAGGCACTGGGGCGGCTCCTACTACTGTTTTCTCTACGACTTATAAATGGGACATTATTTTCATCAAATCATAACCGTTTCCTAAGGGAATTACTTCAGACTGGCGTGGAGGAGTTCCTCACGGTCTATGGTCTGGTGTCTATCTTCCTAGGTGTGCTTTCAGACAGGTAGAGTTGGGGGGAATTGGCGCGCTTTTGAAGTGCAGTCTATGTAATATCTTTTAGCACTCCACAGATTGCGTGACGCCTAGAAACACACTGCTTGCACAGCTTGTCATCGTTAATTATATTCCGACTTCGATGGCGAGACACCTCTTATCTTGCCTCTTAATTGGTTCGTTATGATGCCCACAAACGCTCATTGTAGTCAAAGCAAACAGACTGCCACTGAGGTACCGAAAAAAAAACCCAAGAAAAGAAGGGGAATATCCGCCTACTGGATCAAAAGTTGTAGTACACGTTTAGCTACTAGCGTATAATTCGTCCTAGCAGTGTGAATATCCCGTCGTAAATGCAACCTTCCCATTCCTCCATGCGTTGATAAGAGATCCTGCCAAGAAATGGTAGCTACTTCGACGACCATGATTGTGGAGATTATTGTTTAAGCGTAAGGAAATACGCCTGTAAGACCAATGTTTACCCTTGTTCTTGTACTTGAAGCGCATTTGCGCCACAAAGCTAAAGATTCTTTTTTAGTAAGGTTTTGTTCCCTAGCAAAAATGACAAAACGACCTGAAAATATGGCCACATTTTGGTTTGAATGAACCACTTTAGTAAGGACATAGTTTGGGTTTGCGCGCGCTCCCACGAAGCCTGCGAGTTTCCATTGCTGCCGGTGAGTTCTGCTGGTTGGGGTTTCTGTTTTATCATATTGCATGCCTTTTCTGCAGATGTCTTTCTTTGTTTTACCTACCTTTTTTTTCTTTTTTCAAAAGCTATAAGATGAACCGGTATTTTATCTGTCCAAGATGTGTACGCGTACTTGCTTGTCTCGCTAATGTATCGAACGATCTGTCTAACTTGGATTCAATTTCACTTTACGCTGTATTAAGCCTTATTTAGTAATCCCTGCTTATAATGGAATAGTAAATTCCGTAGCTAGAGCATCTTTTTAGGTAGTGGTCTTCGGAATACTTCCACTTATATTCCAAAATTAATATATTAATAATCTTTCCTTTTTGCGCTTTTAAGATCGTGCGAACGTGGAGTTTGCATTTAGGTCGAATGCAGAAGTCTGGTTTCTTTCGTTGTGAGTTGTACTAGTCTCTGGCACATCCCATCTTTCCAAGTGTGCGTCGACTGAAATCGCGAGCATTTAGTCATTTCGAAATTCCACATTCTCTCGCCATGTTTTTCTGATTTGTGGGAATGGTCTTGGTGTTTTGTGTGTGTTTTCACTTTTAGGTACCCTGTTGCATCGCTGGTGGCTATCCTCTTGCATGGATCTGGGGTCTACGTGTGTGAAATCCTTCTTCGTCCTGCTGACTGTGACAGCGACGTTGACACGCAGTGTAGTGCATAATGGTAGAACATTGCACTGTTTTGTAATTTCACGTCTGTCGAACTGTCTCCCTTAGTAGTTGGCCATTACGGCAGGTAGTCGTTCTGTACTCCCTTGCATTCCCTTCTAAACTGTATTAAGCTCCTCTCTCCTGTGTTTTACTATTGATCTTTTAAAGGTGCGCCTTTTATTATGCTTTACATTTTTTTAATTTTTAGTCGTATTTCTGATTAATATATCAGACCTTAAAACAAATCAGCAAAGTCGGTGCACATCAGCAAAAGTCAGTGTAAGCTGAAGTACTTAAGTTTAGGGTAATGCAGGCTTCCAGTTCAATAAAACAGTTAATTAAGAGCGTTTTTCATATATAATCTTCGTTTGAGCTAATAGGCTCATGTCTTAGGTGTTTTGTTCACTTACATTTACTGTAATCCCTTGTGAGGCCTTATAGTTTTTTAGTCTGTTATTTGTGATATCAAGCATGATTGTACGTTATATTAAATTCTAAGCCAATTTAACACCTTTTAGGGATCGAAATTTCCGGTGAACACTTGCTACCACATGTGCGGTTTGTCCATTTGACTTAATTCAGCTTAGCTCATTAGGTCTTAGTTTTTACTGCTCACTAGTGTGAACTTGGGCCGTATAAACTGTTGGTGGCCTTTCTGTTTCCGCTGCAGTCACATTGCCTGGTGAAAGAGTCCTAATTCCCGGTGCTTCGGCATACCTAATGACCGTCGGGAAGGTTGTGGACGATACCGCGATGGTCTCCTTTACCTTCGATACGCCACCAGAGTCTCCCGCTCTCCTTTACTCCTTTCGCCATTTCAATCTCCCACAGCTCAGCTTCAACACGCGCGAATTCTGCGCGAACCTCTTATGCGGGCTGTACGACAGTGAAGGGAATAAAATTAGCGATGTAAGCTCCTTCAGCTTTTCTAGTTTTTTCAAAGTCTCACTAAAGGCACCAGTACCAAACAGGAAACATTGAGTTTACAAAAGGCAGAAAGGTTTAAATTTCAAGGAGAGGATATCGCTACTACTCTCCATTAACACTCCATCGTTTGATTAATAGCTGGAAATCTTTATGGGAAGATTTGTCAGTTAGTTCGGATTATCCTGGGAGAAAATGTCTACTCTGTCATCAGTGTTGAAATGCTGGTTTTCAAGGTACTTTTTCCGGAATCCGAACAGGTGAGAATCATTGGGAGTGGACTTCAAGACGTAAGGGGTGTGAAATTACCTCAAAGCTCGGTTATTAGTAATGCGCATTTAATGCGGTGGATAGCATGAGCTTGCGTAGAAAGCTACCATGGTGTACTGCGTGCACTAACTTTTCGACATTTCAGAGGTTCGTTAGCTATTGTTTTCACCATTTCTACAGATAGATTGGTCTTTTGAGAATTTCCACTACACGTTATGCGTAGATCATGCGTTCTGCGCAGTGGATATGAATACACAAAGGAGTGGTCGCTATGGTGTTGGAATTATTGCACCCACTAGCAGTAGTGACAAACCTACGCATGTCATGGGAAACCTTTACATCTGAATGTCTTGCTTAACCATAATGTGCCCTACTTCACGAGGCGTTTTATCATGCCGTCTGTTAATGTATACAGACAATGGCACTCTTGGCTACCGTCCAAACTACCTAGTGGCAGTTGTAACACGCGTCGGTGTATGATGTGACGTACCCTTCGCTGCGTGCAATGGCCGCACGACATCTTCCCATTTTAAACGTGTCAAACTAAAGGTAGCACTTTAACTTGACTTTTTTGCGTGTCGCTAAACCCCAACTATTCGCGTTCGCTGGACTGGGAGAGTCAACTTCTTACTGTAAAAGCTCTCCTGCTGCAGTGTTGTGCATTACAGTGGATCTCTTGTGTCATCGCCTTGCGATGCAAATTAGCTGTTTTTTCCCCGATTGGTGTGACGCTGGTAAGAAGATGTTAAATCGCTTACGAGCAAAACGCTAGAATATTCTATCCACTCACTTCGAACGCATTAGATGCGATTGTCCTCCTTGCACTCAATTATCAATTGTGTGTTTATTTGCGGTTGAAAACTTCTGAGAGGTAATTTCGTTGACTTTTGGACTTTAAATTTGATTTGGCAACTTTAAGTGACACTGTTCTCCCCTGAAGTCTAAGGTGGAATTCAATTGTAGCCGGCCGCAAATTTGGATCCTTTAATGTGATCCAGTTTCTTCTTATCCTCCCAAATCTTAGCGGTTTTTTTATTAAATTGAACTTGATCGCACACATCTGGCGTTGGTGGCGACAGACTTTGGGTTGGAAATATATTCAATTACTAGGCGATAATAACAGTTGTTATAACGGACTTTGCTGTAAAACTTTTAGATCGTAAGCACATGTTTTGACAACGCGAATCCCGACCTCTATGGTCCCGTTGTGTTCGTCCCCAAGGCGACAAACGTCACTTGTTCCGTCATCTGGTACTACCCCCGTGAGAAGAGTCACCTTAATGGCTCCGTTCAAATTATTTTTGCCTCTGCCTGTATGTCCTTTTGGTTCTTACCTGTGTCATTCTAACCTGTCTATCACCGCCTTGGTGACTATGTTTGCTCGAGTTCCTTTGCTTAGCATGCATAGTCTTCCTCCACTCTAACGCATAGCATTTTCTGATTACTTCACTCTGCACTGCAGATAACGGCAAATGTGAGGACGCCTATTCTACTTGGGTTAACTCTTCCTCGTGGTGCAATGTCAACTTGAAGAACCTAAAGGACACCGGCTACGAGGATACTCAGCAACTCTTGTGTCTGGAAAGGACTGTAGCGGTGGAGGCGTTCAACACTACCTGTTCGGATTCCATGGAACCTCCGGTGTTCCATTTCCCACTAGCCTATGTCATCATCTCCATCTGCACGCTAGTGTTTCTTCTGATTGTCCTAATTTTAATTAGTTGCTGTATCTGTAAGCGCATCAAACGTCGGAAAATCCGCAAATTGAAGAAGACAGGTAAACTTCAGACAAATGGAGGACTCATTCATGCGACCCCAGGGGAAGAGGAGGGTGCTTTACTTCCTGGTGAACAAGTCGCAGATGTGGTCCCAGATGGAGGGAAAGATGCTTCACCTTCTGATGGACAACGACCGAATGAGACCTCAGAGGGGGAGAAAGATGCTTCTTTTACGTATCTGCCGAATGCAGTATTGCCCCCCAATCCTCCCTCGCATATTGACTGAGATTTACTTTGAAGCAGTACTGAAAGGAAAATGCTCCCAAGCCTCCTCGATACATCCATTGTTAAGGCCGCCGTATGTGTCATTGTGACTGCCATTTGCCAGACGCTTAATCTCCCTCTCTGGGCTGTCTTATTGGTGGGCTTTGTGCTACAGCCTCTCTTTCACTGGTGCGAATGGCCAAACAGACGTGTGCGTGTGGGTGTGCGTTTATGTGAATCAGAATCGACAAAGTCGTTTCTTGGCACGGTTTAGTTGCATTTCTTTCGCCCTGCGCCCAGTTGGTTTCATTCAGGATATGGCGTTGTTTTTACTTTCTTGAGGCTTGGTGCATTCATTGTAGTTTTTCATCCCTAGCACAGTTTTTGGCTTGTCAATAAAGAGGGGCTTGGTGTTAAACGCTGTCATCGTTTGGCGTCAGTGTGGCACGATGCCCACTTCATGGAGTGGCGTGTGGGAGGTGGACCTGGTGGGTGGACGAGCCACGCCCTCGACGTTGGTCTGCTCCCTTTACGTTATTGTGTTCGACATAGGAGTTATCCCGGCCGATGCTGATTGAAGACGCCAGCTACTTCTCATTCTGTGCTCACGTCTTGTTGTGCTTGTGGTCTTTTGTTTGTTGCAATGGCGGGAATTCACAATGCTGTGATTGAGTCAGTCTAACACCTCCGCGCCGATGCGAGTCGTTGGTTTTTTAGCACTTGTTCGTTTACTGCGCACATGAAAAAAATTGATGTGTTTATCATACCTCTGGCAGGGACAATGCGGACGGAATTGCATGTGCATGGATGTGAGGTGGTGTACTGATACATGGTATGCCTGTAAAGTTCCAGCTTTGAATTCAGCCTACCAGGGGCGGTGTCTTCACTTTTCCCCAATTCACTGGACTTTGACCCTGTGGTGTTTGAACAATAAGTGAAAGGGCGCTGAATGTGCACCCTGTATCGGTAAGTTTTTCCTACCTAGCATCTCAAAGGGTGGTTGATGCTATGGTTACATTCAAATACTATGTACAGTTTCGTCCGCGTGGTCGGCATTTTCAATTGCCCCAGGTGAGCGGTCAAATTCTCCGATGTTCATCTTAGACGCCATTCGCCAACTTGCTACTGAAGTTATATATAAGTAGCCTATGCATGAGCAGGTTTGGAAGTACTTAACTTGTATTTTTTTATTGAAAGGAATTTGTAAAGTATTGCGTTTCCATTTACCATGTCATTTCGACGTCTTGGGTGTTTTCTCTGTGAGATAAAAAGTAGGCACATTTCGTTCGCGATGTGGTGTGGATACTTTCATGAATTTCAAAGTAGGATCATTAAATCTAGCAAACGAGGCTGCAACTAAGGCTCTTTTTATAACTGCTGGATTGCAGCGCTGGTTTTTAGAAAGTTTTGTGTGTTTTCCTTTCCCCCCATCATTAATGGCCTTCCAGGAGTGCAGAGAAGGGCTGAGAGTGTGTTTGTGTGTATGAAAGCACAACCGTCGGAGGCGCAGAAGTCCGCGTAGCCAAACAAATTCTAGGCAACTCTGGGGAAATTAATGTTTGGATCGAGAATGCGAGAAGTGACTTCTCGTGGTAAATAAGTGAAATATGGAAAACCGCTAGACTATGCACATATACTACAGTGATTTGAGATTATGTTCAAATGTACGTTTGACTACTCAGACGCTTAAGTTCCCTCAAATTGTACTTCCGCTCCACTTCATAGGCTTCCGGTCACGCTAACGGCCGTTCAGCTCTTCTGTACGTTAATAATAGCATGCTCTCCCGTAACGGGTTAGGTCATAGCATCTTGGGGATGATTTGTGCCTATTACACATTTTGGTAGTTTAGATGCACCTTATGAGGCCTTGTGTGGAACACGTTAGTTGTTTCATATTCGGTTTTCGTACCAAAATATTTACGACTCAGTCACTGTGCCCCCACTGGGCGGAATCTGGAGGCACATGCAGAATCTTATGCTACTGATACAATGTTTCAATTGGAACCACTGAAAGGAGCTTTCATTATAGCCGACACAACTCTGCTACACTTTATTGCTCTGCTTTATCAAACGTCACGCAATGAAAGAGACTCAGGTCAGTTGTGATGCAGGCATTAGAAGGCACACCTTGTTTGCCAGGGAAAGTGGAATAAAATAATCTTTCGAAATTGCAATCATGGCTGAAGAGGAAACTTGCCCCCTAAAACCTGCTTTAGAAGTATGTCTGATATACTTAGCGTTCCAAACAGAGCTCACAACGAGCCCGTTTAGGGGAGTGTCTCCTTCATTTGCTGACGGGTCTACGCGCCAGTCACCGTTTAGTGTCCCCAAGGCTCCGAGTGTCCCTTTTCGCTTTAGGTTTCATGCCATTTACAGTACCCACTTCCGCAGCATTCCTGAAGACTGGGTCAACCTGTTGTATTCGTCCTTTGCTACGTAGAAGAAGGGCTTAAATGGGCTACAATATTAAAATAATCTCTTCTACTACTTCAGTCACTGCAAAAAGACAACTGACATTATCCAAGACCAACTCCAACGGTCAAATGTTGATTACTGGATTTGTATCAGCCCATCTGCCCGTGAACAAAGGGTTATTAGCCTAGATTTCACTTTTTCATTCATCCACCCATCAGCCTGACGCATTAACCTAAAGCAAAGAAGGTGTTAGCAGTTTCCCAACTTATAAAATGCAAACAGAAGGGTTGTTTCTAGTTAATCTTGTTCACTGTAATGTGACAACTTGCAATGGCCTCAAGGAGGCACTGAGGTGGGTGGCACCTAACCCACCACGCTTATTGCATCCACTTGAATCCTTAGTGGATCACTCATGGAATTCACGCCGATATGCCGTTTGTACCCAGCACTCTTGAAATTGTCATCTTTGGGTAAATGGAAGATACAAGTAGTAAACTGAAATTGGAGGATCTCCCCCTTCAGGCCTTCTGTGTGGTTCGAGACGATGGTTCGGTGTCATGAATACGACATGGATTTGATGCAACGTGGTAGTCAAGTAACACTAGGGGTGAGTTAAAATGCTTCTACTAAAATCGGCACCACAATTTCTTTCAAACATGTTGGTTGGTAATGAGAAGGAGTTAACTTGCAAATGTGATAGCTAATTGGAATCTTCAGAGGTATTCACTACAATCAACGCGTAATAGCCTGATGTGTGGGTGTGCAGCAGGACAATGAATGTACGTGAACATGTCCGCCCGACGTGTTGAAGCGCTCCTTTGTTTCTCATTTAAAATAAAAATTTTATTTGTAAAGTGTTAGTAAAAATGACACAGCGGAAGTAAAGCCGTGCTTAAGAGCCAAATACTTGAGAGGACACTCTTTCAGGTGTTTGACCTTAGTGGACAATAAATCTCTGCATAACCTACCCTTCTCAATAACCATACCTAAAACCGGACTTTTTAGGAGTGACACTAGCTAGTTGACAAAGTTCCCCCTTAAGTCGTTTCGGGAGTAAATCCTTTGATAAACCATTCAACTGAAGCAACTGGTTGTTTGATTTTACTAGTACCGTGTCTACTAGCTCGTTAGTCATGGCACAACCTTACAAAGAAGACGTTCAGGTGCAATAAGAAGCAGTTCAAAAGCGCTGCTGCTTTGTACTACTTACCTGCACCGTGCTTAGCAACCTTCTTGAACAAGGGCACTGTACCGGATAACCACACACATTTGATGGTTGTGTTCTATTTTAGCATGATTTTAGGTGTTTAATAACCAAAACGATGAATTTTGCATAGTCACTGCTGTAAAATAAGTGCATACTTTTCAAACACACTTCCAGTCCTTTAAATTCGTGACAGCTGAACTGTTACAAATGCCGGAGAAAAGTGATAAGCAAATTTATTTAAGCACTCAGACACAACCATCTCTTAAGAGCAACAGATGCGGATGTCAAAAGTTCAATTGGAATAGTGGCCCTTACTCTGTCCTGCACGGTGGAAGATGTATCGCAAGTAACAAGCTTTATTTGTCTAATCCTTCAAAAACCCACTTCAAGTACAATGAAGGCTGCGGCGACTTTATCCCTTTCACTGAATCACTTATGAAGTTATCAAGACATTGTTCTCCATTAAATCCGTTTCATAGTGCTTGGTTTATTTTGATCTTCTTGGAAGTGACACGGGTGAAGCGAAGACATCAGCCATTAACCTTCGTATATGGCGAGTGAAACACCGGTTATGCTGCAATCATCCAAACACGGTGGAGGGAACGATCGATGACAAGACTTTAAATTTCGCCATCATTTCAAGTCTTGCACTACACTTGCATTATCTTATCATTTGTCACTGCCTTCGCCAGGGCTTCACTGTTGCATCGAAGTCGAAATGGCGTCCATTGAGTTGGAACGTATGTACGATGCGTGGAGGAAGCGCGATCAGGCTCAATGTCAGAAGGCAATGTTCAGTGTACGCTATCGTACAGTCATGAACGAGCTCAGTGCTAATTTGGAGGCACGCAGGGCCAAGCTGTACGATTTGTTTGAGCGTGAAAAGGCGGAAAACTTGAACGCTTGTTCTGCTAAACTGCATGCAGAAGAGACAGCGCGCAAAGAGGCGATAGTCGCAGAGGCAGCCGCGATCAAAGAACTAATCAAATCTAAAAATGCTGAGGTAGCAGAACGCGAGTACCAACGGCTACTTCATGTGTCTAGTGACGAATATCGTCTCTGTAGGCCAAAGATTTATAAGAGAGAGATTTTGAAGGATCAGAGGGCTATAAATGAGTTTAAAAAGCAAAAGGAAGCGTATGAGAAGGCACGCGATATGATTCTCGTTCAGCAGCATGACGGATTCAGTCGTCGACTTAGTGAAGCCGATCAAACTAGAATTGAAGATGGGAAAACCAACAACAAGGCGCACCAAAACTTCCTTCTCCAGCAGATAGCCGAGAGAGAAGAAAAGCGGAAGCTGGAAGAGGTGAACAAGCTTAACGACTATAAGGAACTAGAGGAGACTATGAGAGCAGAAGCAGAATTACAAAAACAGAAGACTTTACAAAGGATTGAGACAAGGCGGAAACTAAGTGAAAATCTTCAAAGTCAAATGGAAGCAGTGCGAATGAAGCTCAAGCGGGAGGAAGATGAAAATGCGACAATTGATAAAGCGATCAGCAAACGCTGGCAGATGAAGGAACCACTTAACCCAGATAGAAGAGAACATTTAAAAAGTCTCAATCGTGATGCCAAATTCTTCTTAGAGTACCAGCAACAAGTTCGCGATCACCGCAGGTGCATGGCAGCCGAAGCTGACAAACAACGGGATGAATTGGCCGAGGAGTATCGTCGCAAACAGCAGGAACGCGGAAGGACTCGCAGCTGCTTCGTACAACAGTTAAACAAAGAGACTTTTGAGGCACATAAAGGTGCTTTGGATGAAAAATTAAAGCATCGAGCAGCGTTAAAAGCGCAGAAATTGGAAGAGGAAACAAGGGATTTACTTGAAGACAAACGCCAAGAAGCCGAAATGAGGAAGGCTTTAAAGACGTCTACAGAATCAAAACGAATGGCCCTAAGATTATCGCTTATGAAGCAGTTGGAGGAAATATGTTTGCGAAGGAAGCAAGAGGCAGAAGAGATTGAGAGGGAGAAAGCGGCATATCGACTGGCGGACGAGGCCTACCAGACGAAAATGAAAAATCTTGTGTGTGATGAAAAGATGTGGGATGAGTATAGTCTTCATCCATGGCGTAGAATAGGGTTAAAGAGGACTGCCTGAAATAAAATGATTACAAACACACAACGATGTCGTACATACATCTCATGGGCCACTACTCTGATTCGTAATGTGCAAAAGCCCTGCGTAAGTTTAGCATTTACCATTGCTTCAAACTGTGCACAAAATATTGCTATTTTCTGGTTGAAATTTTTTTAAAAGAAGGTTTTTTGTGACTTTAAATTTTTCAAAAGGTTTGAACATTTCCTTGGGTGCGGGGGGGCGCGCTCTTCAGAATGGGGTATCTGCACTTAGGAGCGATTAACGTGGGAATGCTAAACTTCTTGAATAACCGTGATTTAATTAGGATGTAATTCTTAAAAGAAGCAACCTGCAAAACTGTAATGGAATAGTAGAAAGGTTCTAAAAGGAAAAACAGTAAATAGGAGTGTCAGTGGGCGCTATTGGAGAAGTGATGGAGGAAAAACAAGAGCGATTTGCACCCGAAAAGTAGTCTTTGACAGTGCAAGCGCTGCCGATTCAGAGCCTAGGGTAAAGGAAAATAATTAAGAACCACTTCGAAGGGGTTGTGTTTATGTGAAAAGATTGCGTTGCGGAATGGTGGTAATTCGCCATTACTATAAGCTAGTGAAAGTTGGTCCCTAAAGGCGGTCATTGCATCAACGGACGGTATTTCAATGGATGTGTTGGTATCTGGCATAGGACACCAAGCAGATGAGATCATACGTTCCTCAACCGGGATCGTCGGCGGCAGCGGTGGTGGTGGTGTCACCACAGAGGTTTGACTTCTTAGGGGAAGTTAGTACCAATCGTAATAGGCGTTTCGTTGGATCCATACCTCCTTTAGCTTGTGGTCGGTCATTTGACGTAGTATTTAATTCCTTGTCTAGTCTTGGTGCTTTTGGTGCGCCCGGTTCTACGTTAGATGGCTGCACATCAGTCGTGATGATGTTGCCCAATAGTTTGTACTTCGGTTTAAGTCATTACTAACTTTTCAATTACACCTGCTTTGATAAAGTTTCGGAGGCCTTTATGAGTAAATTCCTAGACACGATAACGTTGCCTGGCGGTGGTAATTCAATTGTAAGGTTTGTTGATTTTACAGGTGAAGCGTCTGCCTCCCCAATAGCTGGCTTGCGAGGGGACGTTGTGGTCACGTCTTTCAAAGAAAGATCTTCCTTCGAAATCGATGATTTGTTGACGAGAAATAATTTGGGAGATAATGGTTAATTTGTTTTATTTAGCTCCATCAATGCAGACCTCAAACAAGGGTGGATTCTGATCTGCGGGTGCGGTTTCCCCTTATACGCAAATACAGTAGCCTTATCTGCAAAATACAACTGTTTAATTAAAATCATGTCTTCTTTTAAAGCCACGCTTTCATGGAACGTAGTGACATTGGCCCAAGGAAGTTGATAACTCACGAGTGTGGTTTGAAAATGCAGCTGTCCTGTTGAAGGTGCTTGGTCACTTAAAGTGGCGGTGTGGACCAATGATGGTATGGCCTCTTCGAAATCTAAAGTTCTTTGACTACTAGTTCAGCTGATGTGATTGTACCTGCTGGAATGATTGACAAGGTAATTGAATAATCTAGGAATCTGGATGGGTAGCCATTCAGCGGGTGTGAATATTATTTCGTCACGGCGGTAGTTTTGAAGGCGTACTAACCTCGAACACTGGAATAGGTTTATCAATATGGAATAATGTTACTGACGCAGGTGCCACGTCTATTTTTTTCCAAAAAAATGCTGGTGTTAATGCACTTCTGGCACATAGATGATTGTCCCGGTGGCTGGTTGGTCCAAGGTATCCAAATCGCTCAGTAAAAAAAAAAGACATAGATAAGATAAAAAGTTACATTTGAATGATCTTACTGATATGTCTCCAGAATATTATCCGTTGCGTAAAGGAATTTTTCTTACAAAACTATATTTGTTACAACGGTCTGAGTTGGTTTTGTGTGACGTGGTCGTTATTGACTCACATGCCCAATTTTTCTTCTAATTAAAGTTTAAGGTATTCATATTCTACAGTAGCAATTCGAATGTTTGTTTAACACTACGATTGGGCTTCGTGGCAACAGAAAGGCACCACCATTGTACTTCCACTGCAATCCTGGTAGTCCCTCAGTCCTTCTGTAGGTTGACGATACGTACTGCCTTAGTGTTACGTCCTATTCGTATTCACAGAAGCCTTGGAACGCTAAAATGGTGGCATCAAAAAGTAAGGTCCTTTCTAAGTGCCAGTTACCCTGACTGTAGCTACTGAGTACTAGAACTTAACGGGACAGAAGAAGGTGCTATGCTGCGGATGGGAAAATCCGCGATGACCCCCAACAGAAGGGTTGAAAATGGCGTCTACCTTAGGCAGCTACTCCAATCCCGTGTTCTGCAGGAAGGCTTATAATAAATGAAGCAATGTTAGTTGCAAAACATCTGGAAAATTTCGTTACGGAGTTGTTTACGGCACTCGCATGAAGATATAAATTAAGTCAGTACAGGATACTACTGGCTGAGTCAAGGCTAGATAGATAAGTGTGACCAAGGTAAATGAAATTATCAAGGATATATAGACGCGAAAGCTTATTGCTATGAAACGATGATAAACCCCAAACTTTTTATAATGGCCTTTCTTATAGACGAATATTAGTGGAGCAAGGGATGGGAGTACGAGACAACCAACACATTTTCTCTTTTCTGACACAGTACACAAGCAGAACGAAACTCTAGACCAAATAAAATTTTTAAAATAGATCATTGGCGTTGCACTCGAAGACGATGAACTGCATAGTTGGTTCGAGAGTGTTATTCTAAACTACCGGTTACGCTGTGAGGAATGACGTGTTAAAGACAATGCTAAAAAAGACACACTATGTAACGCCCTAATTGTTTTTGATTCTCGGTTTTAATGAAGTCTCACCCAAGGCTCCGCCACTGTACCTCCACTAAGCGGCATGGTATCCAGGCCATGCCAGTAGTTTTCAGCCCTACTGAGCATTGAATACACATATTCTGCTTAAGTGTCATATCTTCTTTCGTCCACAGAGAAATCCTTAGTTACCTCACGCCGGACTGACACCTCTAAGAGTGGGACATTCTGTAGGTTTACGTGTGGGCTAATTTTATCACATTTCGCGAAGTTGTTCAGCGCTTCAAAGTTCTAAAAGTCGTACGATGTCTTTGAAAAACCGTACGATTTTGTGTAGAATCGCATTATTCTCTGTTTTATTACATTGAATGCTACTGCATTGATTGGTGGAAGGTGTGTTCTCAAGGTCGTGCATTCGCAGAAATGACTAAGAAATTCGCATGTTTTATAATTTCAGTTATTCTCCTCGCTTTCTTAATACATGCGGTCTTTTACTTTGCTGACTTCCGTCAATCATCTCAGATCCAGGCCCTTAAATCTCCCCCTCGCAACGAATCGGATGCAATCTTTCCGGACAATTCAACGGACCGGCTATTTTGGTTCGCACAGGTAGGTAACCTAACTTTCTTACCTCAAATGGTTAGTTATCCGATCTTCATTTGAGCCAATTTCAAGATAAAGGCAGAACTCTTGATTTTTCCCGGCTATGTTCTGTCCACGTTCCTGTTATCGTTCCTGATATAGTTGTTGTTTCAGGTAATGCATCACCGTCACCTGTTACTTTAGGTGATATAACTGATGCAAAATTTCCGAACATGCGTGGTTCACGACAATTTGAAGTGGAATGGGCAAAATACGAAAATACTGTAAGGAAGTTTTGTGCATCCCCACGAACCATATGGTTGGACATGCGCGGAAACCATGGTTTGTTACTCTTTGTAAATGACATATCTCAGATAACTTCAACGTTCCTTCTGTTTTCCACCCGGAAAATTACTTTCGGTAAGGCATCTACGTGTCTTTTCTCCTCTAGCCATCAAATTCTGTTTTATTTCCTGAGAATTATCTTCTCTCTTACGGTAGACAAAGTTATGTCGTCGGTTTTCTTGTCGTCTGACTTCTCAGTCGATGGCAGTAGCTTTTATTGGGCTGAATATCTTAAGCGCCGTTTACGTTCACTACTTGCAGTTTCCCGTATTTGGTGTTTTAAGCCTTCTTTTGCTCACAGTTACCTTTTTTTTGTTTATGGTTTTCATTCTCATCCTCTTTGTTGTCTTCTCAGTCAGCACTCTGTGGACGGTCTAAATTTCACTCAGTCTTACATGATCACTCATCGTAAACCCTTTGGCACTTACTCCTTCATCGCCATGGACGCCTGTCCGTCTCCCGGAATCAAGCGCCCGCTAAATTTCTTCGGACTCATAACTCCGGTAAGTGACATGTGTCTCTGTTCTATGTTTGTTTCATAGCTTTCGTTCAAAAATGTAGTCAAAACACAAGTTTTAATGAAGCGTCTTACAGTGTATTCAAAAAACATTGGCCCCTCCTCACAATGCATAAGCTAATCACACCTGTTTCCCTGTTTCAGCTTAATGTGATTTTTATTTCAGTTCAGAGTAATGCTATGAGTATGACATTTAGGCGCATTTTTAAGCCCATCTTTTACGTGAAGGCGTTACTGTCACTCGTGATTTTTGCCCCTTGTCGCAGGAATTGACGAGATCCCTTCAGTCTTTCTCTGCCAGGGCCCATGGTAGTAATCAAACCTTCTGGTTCGGTCACTATCCCACATCCACAATCATCTCACCTGATTTTGATTTACGCGGGCTAATCAGGTATGCATGTCTGTAGCACGAGTGTGCAGGAATAACCCCTTTGGAAACCAATTTTCATAGGATAGCACTTACTATGAGTTAGGGTTTGTCTTTAGCGGTATCCTTTTCGACTCTTTGGACTTTATGAGCATTTCGACGCTAAGTGGGAAATATCTCCCTTTGATCTAAACATTGGCGTTATCACTCCCTCGAGGAAGAAAGTGTGATTTGTAAATTTATCAATAGTCAGTTCTCACTGGTAAATGAAGCGATGAAATTAGGAAAATCTTTTTAATACGTAGTTACGAATACGGTGCCTTGGGTAATATATCTTAAAGTTTATATTTTATCTATCAGTTGGGATGGCGCCGTTTTTGCCATCAAAGCAGATGTGTGGGTGCCAATTTCTTCATTTGACATTTTTTACTATTGGTCTCGGTTTTTTGTCTGGTAACATTGGCTTGTGCCCTCGGTTTTGGCATGCCCTGTGTGCTGTAATAGGAGACCATCTTTTCTCTTCTGTTTATTTTGTACAGAATCAGCATTATTCCTCATTCGTTTCAAGCGGTCCAGAGTTGGACTGGTAATACCACCACCTTGTCCATATTTTCTTGCTTCGTGGCTCCATAACTTGTATGCTTGGCTGTGTATGATGCATGACTCCTGGCTGTGGGTGGCGTGCGGGGATGGTTTAAAATGCAATGTCTTTTTCTCCTCTTTACTGAATAGGTGAAACATTGCCTAACCAAGTTCAAGTGATGTGTTAGTCTTCTTCGTAGCCTTACCCATTTTGAATTAACCATTGTCGCCGAGCAAGCTTGAGTACAACCCTAGCGTTTTCGAGGCGCTTACAATGTTTCCTTCCTCACTACCTCATTTTTTATTTTATTAAGTTGTTGATTCGATTTTGTCTGGCTCTATGGTTGCTTTTACTTTTAGCAAGACAGCGTACTGTTATTTGTGCGGCCACTTGCATTCCCTGATGAATGTAGCACCACACATGTACACGGTGCAACCGCAAGGCTTTCTGGAACTTGAACTGGCGGACTGGCGTGATGGACGATTGTGAGTTGGGCTTCTTCTTCTTCTACCCCTATACCCTGTCTTATCTGAACCTCCAGGTGATTTCTTGTTGTCATTTAACTTCTCTCTCTCAGGCAAGATGGTGGCAAGCTGCCAAGATCTGTCACATCTTTGTGCGCGGCACTTAAGGCGATACCCATTTGCTGTCTTATGGGACTTTAGTGTGCATAATTAGGCTTTTTCTGCATAGTCCGACACACATTATTCCTAGATCCTCGTGAAACGAAGGCGGTTTGTGACGGCTCATTTGTCAGCTAGGTGTTGGTCTCTCACACCTTGGAGGGGCACTTCTAACATGTAATCTTCTTGAGTAAGCAGTCACAAAACCGGAACAGTAACCTTGTTTTCAAGTGTCAAAAGGAATTTTGACGTAGACAGACTAAAATCGCGTTTCCAGGATGAAATTCCATGTAACAATTTTGTTTCAATTATTGACAGTAGACAGCTTGACACCACCCTTGGCGCCCCCACCTTTAGGTTACCATGATTTTGCAATTTCTAAGTGTTGCGCGTGTTTTCCTCCTTGCGTGGCAGCTTCCGTGTTATTGCAGTAGACAACGATTTGGTATCATTTGTGGATGTCCAAGTCCACGGCAACGAGGCAGAGCAGTGGCCTATTGTCCTAGTCACTAACCCCAAGGATGCGGCCTTCCTTTTGCCCAACAAGGAGCCCGCTAATCGCATTCTTCGGTCAACCCACATACGGTAGGTTTGGTTTGTTTTATGTCTTATCTTAAGAGATAGTTTCCGTCTTTCCACTTCCTCGAGTTCACCCACGAAATATATTCGGTTATCAGATAAGAGATCAACGTCAAACAATACTCCTCTTAAAATCTACTTTATTGATACTCAAAAATTTCGTTAAAGACGAAGGCAGCAGTGTCTTGATACCACCAGATTGAGTGATATCCTCCTTCTTAAAACAAAAGAGTTAACTGAAGAGCATGATCATTCGGGCTATTGTGAAACGTAATCCCATTCAGTTGCAGGCTGCAGTGAATAATCGATTATCGATTAATCAATCCTCATCGATTATCTTTCTTATGTCGAAACTGCCCACTAAACCTGGAGTCTTACCTGTCTAACGAACGGTGCTCGCAACAATTCCGCCAAAGTTGTCGGGATTTGGTAGTATTTCTTTTTAATGAAATTCATCATTACGTTTTTACTTGAACAAGTAATGTTATTCGTGTCAACGGCGGAACATGTAACAGCCGGTTCGAATACATTCCATCTACCTTCTGATCGTTTGCTTTCCTTTTGTGCATTCATTTTATTACAATTGAAAATATTTTTTATGAACATCTGAACTTTAGTTGGTAATTTGTCTAGTTTCAATCAGGATTCCTCGCAGAATTTCCACATATAGTAATTTGTCTCTAACCCTTTCAACATCGCAGAATTCTTGCCTGGTCAAAATACCCAATAATTCGAGTCTCTGTGACAGTTGATGGCGAGTACTTGGGCGACGCAAAGCCAGGTGTTCGTCATGATGCTACTAGTACCACCAATTCCCCCCTCTTTGTGTTGCCGTGGGATCCCACGGCGCTTGCAAAACGCGGCCCTCCCGTCGGAATGAGCGCACACTCCATAAAGGTGGTTTGTGAGGTGAGAAATACTTCTGCAACTTTTTTAATGTATACCGGTCTAAATGTTGTCTTATTTTCAACGCAAATGTGGATTAGAAAACAGCTTAGGTGACATGGAAAAGGTGCACGCTACTAGTGAGCACGGTGGATCGTGAGAGGCTCAGATCGTGTATGTGCTCAGAGCAAACAGGATGTTATACGGTACAATTTTTCTTTTGAATATCGTCTTCAGTAATCTCAGTGGTAGCTCTTCTGTTTCGGGTCTAACGCGGTAGTCAGGTGTATTAAAACCACTCATGAGACAGAATTCTGGGACTGTGACATGCCCCTGATTTCACTTGGTCTATTTGTCCCATCCTGTTTGCGTTGTTTAATAAAATCAGCGTTACAGAGCAACAACTCGTTCATTACTGTTCCGATCCCAACCAGCTCCCTGTCTTTTTTATTCTCAGCCTCTTGCATATGAGGAGAGAGCGAGCATTAAAACTGCGAGCTGAAGTCTCTTATTAGCTTTGTAAGCATTTATTACAAGAGTATTCTGATTCTTTCAAGTCAGATTCATCCTCTTTATATCCAATTTCAAAGAATGTGAACATGGAGTGTTTGCCAAACTCTGTCGTGGTTTCCTCCACAATAAATGCCTTCCTTTCAAAAAGTTTTGCCATATTACCCGTCCAATAGTATCAGAATTGTTATGGTGCTACATTAATGTCGAAAGACTGGATGTAGGTTTATTGTCAACACGTTGGAGGGCTGTAGAACCGTTAGCTTAGGCGACACAAACCAAATTCACGCTGCCAGCGTGTAAGTTGAATGATAGGAAACTAAAAGTCATTGTAGTAACTTTATACAATTGCAACTAATAATAAATACGATAAATTCTCAAGTTGTATTTAGGACGCCCACAACAACGTCCGTACAGTGCAACAGTCCTTCACCCTGGATGGCACTACGCGATGGAATTTCGGAGGCTTCCAGAGCTTCATTCTCTTATCAAATCAGAACTCCAACGTATGTTGAGCGATCAATTTGCTTTTTCGCATGCTACTTGAAAATCCTAGTGTGTGAGTGATTGAGGAGTTGTTAATGGGTTCATTCCGTGGGGGGATTCGCTTTCAAATGGTTATTGTTATGCCGCGTATTTTCCCAGGTCACACCTCATTTGGTGACACAGATGTTCTAATTTTTCAGCCATTCGTGTTCACAGGAAGTTTCACGCCAACTTTAATCAAAATCCCATTAATTACTCATACCACTCGAATTGAACAACCCTTTGGAGATTGCCCTAACTTGATTACTTTGCATCTGAAACGTCTCAGTGATCCACGCGCTTCTAATTTACTTGTCCAACTGGGTTTCATACCGCCATTTAAGGCGTTTCTCTGAAGTTGCTGCAACACTTGTGCTAGATTTAACTTTCCAACACCGAACGCCTCAAAACTGCAACTATAAATTGTGGTTTTATGCGCAGGAATGGGAGTGTTGCTCTTTGCTAAATTGATCCCTAAGAAATCGCTTGTTTGTTAAGAATCCTATGCATTATAGCAACGAGGCAGTAGAAAACATGTATTATTTACTGACCGTCTGCCTGATTGGAATAAGTAATTTACACATAACATCAAAGCAGTGGTCATAAAATATTTCCTTCCTTGAGTTTATGAAAAGCTGTTTTACTTTACTGAAACAGGAAAAGGGCATCATAACAATACCGGAAAGGAGTTTTCAATTTTCCACTTAATTACGGTTTTGGTGATGCTCACTGCTACGTAAGTATGGGTGCCTCGTTTTCCACTCGATTTTTCTTGTATAATGACACATTTTTAGGTGAAACGCTGTTTGGGTTAACCTAATCTTTTGTTCGTGTGCCTGTTTTCCTACCTACGTCCTGAGAAAGACCCTTTTTTTTCTTAAGTTGACTTGTTTTGACAAGCAATTTTCGTCGAAGGTGTTTGTTGCTTCAGAGATCACGTGCAGCCACAAGAAAATCAGGCTTGGAATAGACTATAGGCAGTTCAAGTTGTGCTGAAGCACGTATTTAATTCGTCAGGTCATTGTTTCTCTTCCGGTGGTAGAGTGTCTCACCTAATCATAAAACACCGTGAAGTTGTCGGAATGTTGTTGTAAATTGTGGGCACTTGTGAATCGAAAGCACTATAAAGCAGCAATTCATCAGTACGGTACTCTTTACTCATACCCTCTGCTATTCTTCTGCTACTTTGAGCCCTCATAAAGTTTCATTGTTGAAACCTGATTCGGGTTATCTATGTACTTGAGTCCTGGGGGGTCTTTCGAGCCCCCAACTAGACAATCAGTAGATAAGCCTTCGGACCAGATGCCTTGGTTGACGCCGTAAAATGAATGACTACAGAGGTATGACACGCACATATACACGAGCTCGTTTGCCGTATTAGCGGATCCTGCAAGCATGTGGGTCGGTGGTTTCGAGTTCGTGTACTTATTGTAACTGGTTGACTTTGACCTTCGAATGATTATTAGTGCACCTAAAGCACATATCTGCTTGATAAGAGCCAATTGGTGGAGAATGAACGAAAAACACGACCCTCTAGAATGTTTGGATACTGGTCATAAACTGGAACCTCAGAAGAATCGAGCAGAACTGTTTTCTGGGGTCGCTGGCATCTTCACAATTCGGTTGATCTTGATGTAGTTGGTTTGAGGCCTTCTGCTTTACGAATTTAGCCTTCACATTCTTTGGTCTTTCCTTCAAATGACCGCCACCTTTTCTTAGCATTTGACAAGCAAATGTAAGGTGAAATGAAAGAGTGGGACATAAAAGCATAACAGAAACGAAGGCGAACGGATCTATGCTGTTTGTTATAAGTTTTACATAAGTGGATGTTGTATGCCTGTGTGTTGATTGATAAGAATGGTAGATTGTACTAGTCCTCGAGTTAATAAATAAAACACTTATGGAAGCCTTTTGTTGGTGGTTACTTTTTAAGGATTGTGTGAACTTTTTAATTACCTTAAAGCAACTAATCAATTTATGTGGGTAAAGGAGTGTTTAAAATTTCTCCCTCTAATTCTTACTCGTCTACTTTCATTTGGAAAGCTGATTAGACAGGCGTGGAAGCTAACATAAAATGAAAAATTAAAATAGGTGGTTTTTAAAGAAGTGGTTTTTTTTGGTGGATTTTTCTCGTAAGCTGGCCTCCTGTCTTCCTGTTTCTAGACATATACATTTTTAAGTCTCCCTAGTGCACCAAAAGTTAGATATGTACATTAAATTTGGATGATTTAGAACTTTCGCTATCGCAGTTGGATTACTTAATATTTTATTACAGATCTTTCTACCCTTATTCTTGATGCAGAGCGCATGAAGTAGCCTCCTTTGTGTCTTTTATTGACCATTTCCCCTATTAACTTTCAGCTCAAAGTTGCCTTCTACTTGATTTGGTCTTTTCCCTTCTTCACTCTAATTATCGCTCGGTTGTTCGGCAGATCTCTATTCTGTGAGTCCTTCCAAACCTCCTTCTTCATTCGCCCGTTTTCTTTTTCTTCCAGCGGTAGGTTGATGTAGTCCTTCATTGCTCGACTGCCGGATTGCCTAATCCCCTTTTCCATCATATTTTCAAGATGGTCGTGTCTGTGAGGACTTCTGTCAGCTGGAGGGTCTTCGTGAGGTCGCAAATAGTAACATCATCTTTACCGGATTCATCTGCTACCTGGTCTACATCCTTTTTGGTAAGGTAAACTGCATCCACTTCTATCCGAAATGGGGCAATCAAACTTTTCATGAGTATGTGCATTACCCAATTCAAATATTTAATCTTAGTTGTAGATTTTTTATCTTATTCCGAAATTTCGAGATGAATTGTCCTTACTACTTACATTCGGTTTGTCTACTTAACGCTGTTGACAAAGACAGGGGTTTGTTGAATTTGCATCTCAAAGTTCATCCAGAAAGTCGGTGCAGCCGACTCAAAACAAAAGTCTTAATGTTTACCTCTCTGCCCACCGCCTCGGTGCCTTCCGTTGTACTTATTTCAATCATCAATTCACAACTGACCCAAGTGGTGGTCATGTCACTTACCTTCTTTGTAAATATTGAGTGGTTCGTGTAATCACGAATGGGATGCTCGCATTCCTACAATCTAGAATTTCACTTCATTTTCTGTCAAAAAATTGGGGTGACTCTTTTGACAAATTCTCCCTCGCATTGTGATTTTTGAGTTGCGTTTTGAGCAATTTGCAAAAAGGTCTCTTTTTTAAACAGCTCGCTAGCATTACTTACCATATGCACCACGTTCTCCCTCCTTATTTGCGATTTTGGTGGAGAAACTTTAATTCCCTCCAGTTGAGTTGGTGCGTATTATGCATTTTTCTTGGGATACCTCTCAGGAGTTAATCTTCATGGATGATTGAAAATGACCCTGTAGTCGGCAAACTTCCTAGCTGAATGCTTGAGGCCTCATTATTTCATCAACTCCTAAAATTTTATGCAAATTCGTTGCCTAGAGAGAATAAACGCGATCTCTTGCTAAAAATAGAAGCGTCACACGCTTAAAGGTCCTGCTAATGCTAATTTTCTTTCTAATCTACGGAAATTCTTATTTAAGTACAATTTCATTTAATAATTAAGGATGTTTTATCACTTTTGAGGTAGTTGTTTTTCACCGGTTGAATGAAAGTCTCCATTCCTCTAATTCAATTAGTCTGTACGCCTTTTTGCAGCGGTAATACTACTACAATCGTCTCAGTAGACTGCTCAAAAGTCACCAATACGCCGTACCTGTTCGGTGCATTGGAAAGTTAAAATTAAGCTTTTGAGATGTAATTGAAACTAGTAGAGAAGTGGCGAAAGTGGATCTTGTTCTTTATCTATCGAAATATCTCTCTTCAAATGTCCCCAGCCAGCGTTTGCTCTACAGGTTACACGACTACGGGCTGGCACTTGGTTTGAAGTGAAAGCTTTGTCTCATTTACCCTTGATGTCACATGATAATTGCCCTCATTATCATCACCACCTAATCTGCTCTATAAAAAACCTGTCGAAGTCAATACGTACGTCAAGTTAACAAGGCAATGTGTCTGATCCGTTGTCTAGTCACATTTGGCAGCTTAATAGAAGCTAGCTTGTGATTCTCAGGGGCGAAATTGTAATTAAAGGCTGGAACGGTCTGAAAGAGCCGGCACTTAGTTGGCATATCTGAAAGGCGATTTCTACACTCCAATTTTTGAGTGTTTTAAGCAGAATTTTTTTGTGCAAGCACGTCTGCCTACCACCAGGTTTAGTCACCCGATCCGTTGTGGTAACCACCGAGTGATCATGAAGCTGTGATGAGTCTGCCTCAACTTCATCATTACAGAACAGTCAATGAATGTCTGTCTCCTTAGGTCCAATCTTCATGGGCTACTTATTGGATGACAGCTTCGGTTACGTCTTCACTTTCGGTGTCTTCGTTTATAACACCTTCATTCCGGAGGGCACAACTTATTTGGTCGAGATTATTCAGGTAATCTGTCTCCTTTCTCCGTGCCTGTCTCAAATTCTAACGCCCTCCTTTTGGTTTCTCTTTCAGCAACTTCTCTTCACCTATCCCCTGCTGCTACTTCTCATCCAGCGTATGCGCGCATCTCGCAAATTACACTGCTTGGGCTACTTTTTTCACTACTGCCTCTCACAGAAGCACTGCGACCTACTATTGATGTGTCTCCTCACCACACTCCAAGTGGCTTTCGTAGTGCTTGTTGTTCTCTTACCGTATGGTTGGACGGCGTTTTGCCTTTCACCCGGCCGTCTGTGGCTTCTTGGTCTGGCCTGGCCGCTCTTCATTTACACCGGACGTCGGGACCACCACGTGGGGACCTCAAACACACGAACTTCTCTCTCTGTTGATGTCTCCACTGACTGAGTGACTTTTTCCTCCCTCCCTCTCTCTCCTCTTGCCGCGTTCCATCGGTTTCAAAATGCGTTCTTGTTGCAAGTAACAGTGTCTCTTGCGAGATGAGCTGATAAATCGCTGATTCTTACTTCTTTTAATTTTTGTTTTACCGAAGGGCTTAATAGCATAAATGCGGTAAAGTATGATTTGCGGGATAAATCCAACCTGATTAATTTGTGGACTCTTCAATCATGAATATCGGGATGGATGTAACATGGAGATGGATTTTGTAGATGAGACGATTTGGCACGGACACCTCACTGAGCGCTCCAAATGTGCCAAGATGACGGCTGAGTGCTGGTGGTGAGTTTTCTCGTACGGTTTGCAGCAAGCTGTTACTAGGCTTTGGAACACTTGTACCAGGGATCCTTGAGGCGATTTTTTTGTCCTCAAAAGGGTGTTTTGGTATGGGCCATAATTCCTTCTGAACATTATCCTCTTGTCCTTGGTGTCACTTCCTAGGCTTGACCTTCAGTTTTATACGTTTAACTTGGGAAGACTGGCTACAGGTAGTCCTATCTGTAGGCCTGTAAACCACAGTGAGTGTTGCAGGAGCATCGATTCAAATCAAAACGAGGGTCCCGAACAAGGGATCCAAGCCTACATTCCCAAACAAAAAAATTAAAAAAAAAACGGGCAGATGGGTTAAAAAACCGTTAAAGCATTGGGTCTCATGCCCGTTTCAAATGGGAATCAAAATAAACTGTGTGGTATTTGGAAAGGGTTGAGGAAACCTAATTAGAGCGAATCCTTAATATACGTTTAATAATCTGTTTTAAATATGTTTGGCATGAATAATACAGATGCTGACTTCTTTACCTCAAAACTGCTAAGTCAATAAAGTATTTCATTTCTAGTTGCAGACTTTTATTTAAGTCACTTAAATTAACTTTAAAAAACATGAACAATACAAAACCGTATAAGAATTGATTTTTGCTGGCGTCCTAGTAAATTCCAGATATATACATAGCTAACTTTATTTGATTTCAAACCTGCCCGCAGTTACAGCTTACCTATCTACATCGTATTATCGCAATAAACTAAAATTGTTCTAAACGATGTTTTTTCTTAAAAATATTTCAGTCTTTATAAAAAATGACAGATATATCTCTCTTTAAACACCTACGCCAAATGACCCAATTAGTGAAGAAATTCAAGGCCAAATCGAGTAACCATGTTCTGGGCATCGTTAGCCCGAAAGCATGCCGAGGTCGTCGATGTCGCCCGGGTGGAATCCGTTGGATTGGCTGGCACAGTCCCTTGCGACGAAGCTTAGTGCGGATTTGTCATCTACTCGTTTCTTTCTAACCATATGCCTCGGTATTCCGTTGCTACTTATATCCTAACCTCGTTCAGGCTATCCCGTTTCTGCAATTTATCTTCTATCCATTAGTAAAAAGCCTCCTCGTGTGGCGCATATTTATTTTCTCATTACTGGCATATTATTATTGTGTTGGAACTATGGTGCGTTCCCCCATTGGTCTTCTTTATAGTCCAGGTAGCGGGGTTATTCATCTGCTGATTGGGATTTTTTCGACACTTGCTACGCTGCATATGTTTGGTCCGACCGACTTCGCTGTTGCACTCACCTTTATCTTCAACATGGTAGCTGAAAGACTTTTTGCCTTATTGTTGTAGACGTATTTGCTTGTGGGTTATTATTACATGAATTACGGAACGTACGATATAAATTGGACAATGTCCTATTGCATCCTCTGTTTGCGACTCATTGGATTAGCCTGGGATTATCGTGATAGTAGTCTTCCTGTCGAACGCCTTTCTGAGTACCAGAAAGGTGCAGCATTTACTGAACTTCCGAGCCCGTTGGAGATGTTTTCTTTTTGTCTTATGCCGACTGCGTGCTTTGCTGGACCACAAGTACCTCTGTTATTTATCGTGTTTCCTCTACCATTCACTGATGGTCCTAGTTTCATGACACGGATAGACATTCTTTTTGTTTTTGTTAAAGGAAGGCAGTTTCTTTAAAATATTTCGGTGGGTTTTTTTGTAATGTTCTATTCAACAGACAGGCTAACATTTAGTTAGCTTTTATATTTTAGAACTCTTAATTGCTCTGGTTTTAGCGGTGCTGTGATGTAATGCAGAGTCAATCAGAGGCAACTTCTCACGTACCTTGTTGCCCGTACTTTTATTTTTTTTCACAGTTCACTTGGCGTCATTACCATTCTTTCATCAACCAAACACTTCGCCCGCAGATTATTTTGCGGAATCGTTCTCTGATGCAGAAGTATTTGCTAAATCCAAAGTAAGCTAAGCTGCCTGCTAAACTACTGCTATTTGCATCAAATGTCTCTTTTTCTTCATCCTCTCAACTTTGTCAAGGTTACACCGAACTCTAAGTCGACTGTCCGTCGGAATTGTTTGCCTGGTGCTCTACTTGTTTTCTCTGATCTACTGTCCTATGGATTATATGCTTACACGGGAATTCCTCACAGTGAGTCTTACTCTTCTCCACCTGATTCTTTGCATTTGATGCAGGTTATTCTGCTCTTTCTATCGGTTTTAGTATTTTTTAGCACCCCTTATTGCCTTTCGTTAGGACTCTTATCCTTCATAATTGTTCAGACTGTTTAAGCACCTGAGGAATTTCATGCTCTCAACTCAGGATTGTAATCTTAATCTCATGTATTATAAGTGCGATTCTTGACCTTAGGTCCAATCAGACGAAAGTTTAACTGGATTTGTTCCTGATGTGCGCAAGGCTGTGTTCATTTGCTCTACAATGTTGTCAGATAATTCAGTTCGTAGTTGCTTCTAAAGATGGTAATTTTGTCTATTTGCTACGCCGTTCTTCTGGGTGAATTAGGCCTCTCCGGTGGTATTTGCTTTTGTGGCTTTGTGCGTTAACCTGTGCTTCTTTTCATCGCATTTCTTCCAGGAGCGTTCCCTCTTCTATCGCGTTGGCTACATGTGTTTCTACTCAAATTTCCTTATTATGCGCTATCTCGCCATTTGGCTTATTGGTGTAAGCCCTTCGTCCACTTCTCAATGTGTTATCTCCATGTCCACTAGTATTTAAGTATTTGAAGTAGTTTGGTGCGGATTGATATTGGCTAACTTTATATGTTTATTTGTGCATTCTATCCTTTACTCTGAGCAGTTGTTTGATACCTGAAAAAGCTGTAATTGTTTGCGTAAATGTGCTTTTTGTCGACAGTAATTTAACTTTTATCCTCTGTGCATTCTCCATTAAAAGTATGGATTTAATTATTCTTTGACCATCCTCTGTTTTTTCTTATGTGATCCTGGGATGTGGATACAGATACATTCGTCTTCCTTTCAGGAGGGAGCGTGCGTCTTCCTGGGTCTCGGTTGCACCGGACGCATTCGTGTAGACTACTATGACAGCTCCGAGGACACCAACGGCAACAAGAAGGAAGCCAATGATGGCATGACAGTGGCGCCGGTATCAGTCGGGGTCGCTGTCTCGCAATTCCGCAAGGCAGCGGTGCTCAGCAGCAGCTCCAATGGCGGTTTCTGTCGCATTGAAGAGTTTGACGACATCAAGGCCGTCGAGGCAGCGGTGCGTGAGGGGCGTGCCACCGTGACGGAGGCACAGCACACTCAATGCGCTAACATTTCCGTGGTGCGCTTTGAGTCGGCTACTAACACTGATCTTCTCGTCTCCTCTTTCAATATCAACACCAATAAGTGGATGCTTGAGTAGGTTGCATCATCCTTTTCTCTCTTTTAGTCCTTTTTCTGGGCCTCTGGGGTCTAATTTGCTGCTTACCCTCGTCCAGGTTCTCATGTCTGTTCCTCGTTTCAATAATTTGCTTGATGACTTGCATCGTGTGTGAGTTTTTTTGGGCGGTGGAGTTCAGATTCGCTGTTGCTCTCGTCTAAGTTGATCTCAAGTCAATTAACTCCAAACTACCTGCCTTCTCCAGAGGATGTATTTCAAATATCTCATCGTTTTCCTAACATTCTTTCCTAGACTTCAGGATGGCTACTGACACCACTGCTTTCTGTTTACCCATGGATTTTCAACTAGTCATTTTTAAATCTCCACCTCCTTAGCCAGATTTACTGAGGCAAATTGCTCCTTCCACAGGTTTGATTGGCATAATCTCTTATTTCTCGCGTTCTCGTCTCTGCATTTCCAAACTCCCTATATTTTCTCTTTCATTCTTCTCGGTTGCTAAATTTCCGAATCTCCGTGTGGCATTTTTAAACCACTTGTTTTTTTTGTTCAGGACGCTTAGACTCTAAAAATATCCTTGTTAAAATTACTAAATCTTTTGCACTGTTACCTTTTTTGTAAGATTCATGAGGCGTTGTCCTTTTGGTTCTCCTTTATTGTTTACTTTTGCACGGCCATATCGAGCCGCCTCTCACGGTTTACTACGTACTGTGGCGTGATCTTGCTATCTCCAATTGTACTACTGCCGCCTCTGTTTTTTGACCTTCACAACTTTTACCCATTCTAGTTCCCTTCCATTGTTTAAATTTAACATTTCTACTTTTGGAAGTCAGTTTTCACGGCGTTTTGTTATTGCGCACATTTTAATGGAAAAGTGGTGCTCTTCCTTGAAATCCACACCGTTAACTTGCGTGCCCCATTTCAATCCCGATCTTTTCAAGATCCGTACAGATTTAGTTGTTAGATTGTATCATGTCACTGGAAAAAGTTGGCATATTTTCGAATTCTTGCATTGCCTCGAGAATCCCCTAAAGACAAAAGGCGACAATACTTGGGCATGAGTTGTATTTCTGACGTGCAGTAGGGATTGGAGCTACCAACCTGGCTGAGAGTCCAGACCGTCCGTCGGAGGTACCACGGCGGAGCCTCATCGTAGTCCAAGAGTTAAATAAGCAGTTAGCGTATTTCATGAAACTTCACCATTTTTCCTGTTTAATGGACAAATAAAATATAATTTGTGTTCAATTTTTGATTTGTGGTTACTACAAACAAGCATGTCAACGCGCCATCAAATTGCTCCTCATACCCTCAACTCCTACCGATTGGTCACGGAGGGAATGTGGACCTATGTCCATATTAATATGATCCTAGTTGAATGGATGCATAAATAAGACCCAGAGTAATGTATCGCCCCTATCAGTTGTTTACCAACGATGGCGGCTGTCTCCGCCTCTTTTCGTTATTTTTCATTGCCTACTTTTGTTCCACTATGCCACAGTTTCTACCCTGTGAAATGAGTGACTGCTGCCTTTTTTAGTGATAACTTTGGTGATATCAATCAAATTGAAGTTCTGTAGTTGTGTCGAAGGGAGCAAGAGAGGGTAATGGCACACAGGGATCGTATTAAATATGAAAATCTAACAAAAAGTAGTTAACTTTACCTCTGTTGGCGAATAAATGACGTTGTTATTTGGGATTGCAAAAATTGGAATTTCGCTTGGAAATTGGTAACATGATGGAGGGCCTCTAGAGGGATGACGTGCACTCGTAGTGTGGTCTAAATTAACTCAGTCACTTTGTTCTTACTGGCGAGCATTAACAATTCCTTGATGTCGTACTTGCATCCTCGACGTGGCAGTTCAAGAAGTGTAAGTCGGAGGAGTTAGGGCGGTAGACTAGATCAAAGCTGAAGGGAGGCGTAGAAGCTTGTTGAAACATCCAAAGGTCTCTCTTGGGTAATTCTATCGCATCCGATCTTGGACGCCTTCTTCGGTATCCGGTAGAAGACTGCTTCTTTGGCGTTGTTTAAAACGTTTGATATTACGTAGTTTCAGATCGTTTCCATTAGATCCTTCATGATGTCATTCAATTACGATTTTTGAAGCTTCACCTGTTTACGCAGGCTATTAATTTCAGCTGTTTACGGTAAAAAAATTGATGTTTTTTGCATAAATTCAGCAAGGGTCTCTCCAACGCAGCTTTTGCCAGGATAACATGCTCTTTTCGACCGTTCTTCTTCCTATAAAACACGGTCACTGGGTCGCCCTTCGTATCGTCGTAGGCGTGTTTGATGAAGATTTCTTAGGGCTGCTGCGATTGTTGGTAATCCGTAGGACTTAAATCAAAAAAGTTCGGTTATCAACTTACACTTATGGGAAGTGTAGGAGTCTTGTGGAGTCGTGTTACTATTCCGACAACCGATATGGACTACGGCATCGATGTCAAGAACCTTGTTGCTTGATTCTGATTCATTGTCTGTACCTCCTCCGGTGGTCTGGTCGTCCAGACTACTTTTAATTTCAACACCAGAAATTAGAGACTTCCTTTTGACCTTAACTACAACGGCTCTGCCATTACTTAGAGGGGATGCGCTCCCTTCTCCAAGGCCTCACGCCTTGAGGAGGGTTTGTTTTCTTGAGTTCTCTTAAGGTCATCACTTTCGTTACAATTTATTCCCTGTTATTCCCTCAAACTGGAGTGTCTTTGTGATACTCTTTGAGTTGATCGTAGTAGTTAAAGTCTGTTTTTTCAATCCTAGCACCTAGAAGAAATGCCACTTGTTGCTTTCCGTTTATTTGGCACTGGAGGTTGAATGAAGGTGTTGTTCTTTTTTGTGACCAACTAAAAATATCAAACTCCGAACTTTTAGCTGTAAGCGCTGGGCAAGATGTCGTGAACACTAACTGTGCTGCACGTAGTCGCAATTGAGGGAGGTAAAAATTGTCTACAAGAACGTGGGATATTGTATCTTTGCAAGGGAGTGAGGCCTGGAAGTGCTATATATTGCATCTTGGACAGCTTTGCAGTGTATCAACTTTTCGATACCCGTAAGTAAGTGGCTTTGGAAGTTATCTCTGCCCTATGAAAGTTGTTTGAATTATCTCGTCACAATCATGGTCCTTTTGCAACAAATGCCAATGTGTAATGAAGCTGCAGTGCCCCGGGACTTCCCTGAAGACGAAAAGAGGCATAATCCTTGGGCAGAATGCGTATTGTCGACATATGGCAAGGATTAGGGTTACCAAGCAGTTAAACAACTAATTAAAATATTACAGAGTCTACCTCCACAAATCAGCAGTCTGGTTCTGAATGCTCCAACTTGGCTTTTGGCTCCTATGCTGTGGTCGGTGATGCCGATGTGAGTCCATGCCGCCTTGTCGCCATTTAGATAATGCAAATTTGGTCTGGCAGTCTTTATTCCTTGTTGTTGGTTGTGTGCTCTCTACAAACCGACATTTTGACTGCATTTTGATCCACTCACTTGTTTTGGCTTCACTTTTTTTCCTCACTTCTATTTGATACATCAAAAGTTGGACTTAAGGCCTCCCACATTGTTACTCGATCGCCTTGGTAGGAGTGCTGGTAAGGATTTTACTCAACGATCGCTTTCGTTGGGATTTATACAGCGCGATTCGTGTTGGCCTAGTTTTTGATGTGGGTGGTGGAATGACATCAATGTCGGCGTTTTTTACAACACCGCCTCGTAAACAGAAGCGGTATCATCTCGATGCCTTCTTTTGCCCCTCCCCCATTAGTAGCGGCATTCTGATGTGTGCGGTCGATTAGACGGAATTGGGGGCTTTTTCTTTTAGTTAGCAACCTTATGAAGCCAACGGTTAATGACGCGTTTATGGTATGTTGGTACACGTCCCTCCTACCCGTCTGATGATTAGCTCATACTACTCATGACAGGCTCATTCTGTCACTTAAGTAGTATATGCACTCACTCCTATCCTTGTGGCTAAAAAGGTGACTGAGATCTCGACTGTCCTTGTCTCATTCCTTTTATTCGAAAGATATTGGTATTTTTTGGTGTTTTTTAAGGCATTTATCGCCGTACACAACTCTTTCATGAAAACTAACCTCATTGCCTGATACGGGGTCACCCCTCAGTTTTGCGTTGCCTCTTTTGCAACAAGTCGGTGCTTGAAAAGTACATTATTCCGATGGTTAATTATTTATATTACATGTGGTTGTAAATGTTTGCATCAATTTTATGGTAGCAGAATCCTCTCTCTCCCTCTCCCTGGGGTTTAGGACTGCTAGAAACCAAATGTGTAGCCTTAACTGACGGTTTGACTTGACTGCTTGACTGTGTCCTTCACTACCTGATTGGGACTTCTTAATGTATGTAAGGAAGAATACTTTGTGGTTTATTACCAGCTTAGTTTTGAAGTGTCTGCTTCCGATGTGGGCCGTACTAATTGTCTTTCGGAGTAGTACCTCATTCCTTTCACGCGGCAGTTTCTTTTAATACGGTGAAATTGTCACATTACTTGACTCTGCGGTTAATTCACTCATTTCAATCTTTTTTTTTCAAATTTGATAATTTTTTGGATGTACTCACCACCTTTATTCTGGCATGCTTTGGCAGCTTGGCTTTAAGGAATCAGTGGACTTTTCGGCATCTTGTCGAGATTACTCTTGTTACAAAGGGGGTCCGTAAAATTTTAGACTACTCTTTTTGAGGTTTAAAGACGACTTTGGATTTTCTGGCTGTTTGCTGGCGAAATAAAACTTATTATCGTCATCTAATATCTATCAGACATCATAATGACGCTCAGAGTATTTCAAGCTTTAGTTGGCATTGCTTAAACCCAAGAAAATCGGTAAAGAGTTTGCCTTCTTCAACTTTCAGGTATTTATATAAACGTCTACGTTGCCTTGGCAACAAATCCATATCACAGGCTCTTACGTTAACATTCTTGGCAATATGGCACGGCTTCTACAGCGGCTACTACGTCAACTTCTTCCTCGAATTTGTCACTATCTACGCGGAAAAGCAGGTGGGTGTGGATGTGGGTGTGTGCGTGTCCGATATTTCTGTCCTCCGCGCTTCTCCCTTTGCCGGCAGATTTGACCGTGTTTACGGCTACCACAATCTATGTGTGCACCAGTTATCTAGGTGTCAACAAAGTAGGACCTCTTCTGTTCTTGGCCGGGGGGGGACGATAAAAGTAGCACCATGACACCTCTGCTAACCATGTACCATTGTGATGGAAATGTTAAATTCGGTTGGATGTAAACTTTCTGATGTGAATTTTGTTTCTTTTACTAGTTTAAATTTTAACCTAGTAGACCAGATAGACTGCGCAAATCGGTTTATGAATCACCTTAAGTCACTTTCACAATTTGAATTCAATCCTTCCAGCATCTACCTCGGCTCTTCTTGTTAGTAAACTTGTGAAAGCATCTAATTCCTTGTTCTTATGATTGCTCATTAGTCGGTCAGGATTTCTGATATGTTGCAACAGGTGTAACAAAATCCGAGGGAACAATGGCCATGGGTGTGTGTATTTGTGTGTCAGTGCAGCACCCCCGGAATTCCCTGAAGACGGGCTACCGGCATGGTCCGGAGGCCAGGTCGACCAGGGAAAGAAAAATGGCGCAGTCCCTGAGTAATGTGTTACCAAAACCGAGTGTTCTACTAATATGTTACCGACAGTACTACCATAGCAAACCTACGAGGCTCTGCAACCCCGCTTCTGCGTGGTTCGTCGAACTCACGTGCATTTGCTTCCTCCCCCCTGTTACTTCGGTCTCAGCGGCCACACGACACGCGGATTAAAGCGTGATGAGGGTCAGGCTGTCGCATGCGCAGTCACACACCACCAGCGAGGTGTCTTTTGCGACAAGCTGGAAGCGCGAGGTCAAAAGAAGTGCATACCAACATATGTGGAATTTGAACTTTAAATTCATTTTCTGTAATATGAACGTGATTTGGAAGTGTTAGCGCTCAAGCTTGTCCTGCAGCCAGTGTGAAGTTACCCTTTATTTTACCGACCTCCGGGCGGAGTGACTCATGGAGGGCAACATTCTACTGCGTGGCCGACATCTTGTCTTCATCGTTGTACCCAGCCCTCCCCGATTGTCGAAACTCTGAATTGACCTTCACGTGGCGCAATTGTGGGATGGGAGTTAAGGTTTTGTTGGCGTATCTGCCTAGAAGACTACAGTGGATTTTGTTATACCAACCGCTTTTCTTAAGGACATCTACATAAAAGTCTCTTATAAATACTAATGTAGACATCTGCCTTGGATAAGCTCCAATTTAGGAAATACAGAACTGCCTCAATGCTTCAAAGACAAAACTTCAAGTTGGAGTAGTCGCTGACACGTCAATATGCTTCGTTGTTGAGTCACCACCGATTCACTCCCATCGAGGGAGGTACATCATCCCCTCACGCTACCATTCCATCCGACGCTAGAGTTTATCCTGAGCGCTTGATGAGTCATGTGGGGATGTAAGTGGCTTTACTCGTCCTGAGGAGGGCTGAGGGCTTAGCACCCGGGACAGAGGGGTACGGGTAGAGTCTTGTACCGCCAGCATAGAGAAACTAAGGCTTGAGCACGTGGCTCATACTACCTCGTATTTTTTCTTTTTCACAGTTCCTAGCTATCGTTCATCGCTCTATATACGCGGATTTCCTATACGAGACCCTGGTGGGAAAAATCATCACCACTATCATTGGAAAGCTGCATATTCTCTTCATCCTCTCCTGCCCTCTTGTGGCATTCTCCATGCTGCGTGCATCATTGTGGATTCCGGTTAGTGGTTGTGATTTCAAAATATTTTAATGTTATTCACCTCACTCTTCGTTGTCAGTCTACCCAACTGACTCAGCTCCTTGCATTAATGCCGTTGGGATCCTTTAATCTTGACGCAACTTTTCTAATCACTCTTGCTTGATGTTACTTGTAAAACTGCTTGCTTAAATGGCAGAGATCTGGTTTTAGCGGCTTATACTCACTATAAAGACGGAAAAGATGAGGGCAAAATGCATAAACAGTCAAGGCCAGAACCAAGTCAATTCAGTTTGTTGTGATCCTATTGACACAGAAATAGATATGTCGAAGAGACAGCTGAAGCAACAAGGATTTAAAAAAGGGTAATAAAATTTATAAAGGGAGAAAAGGTGGGAACAAAGGAGAAGACTCTGTCTACTGCGATAGGAGCTAAGTGGTATGTAATTAGACATTGACTGTAGCTGTGCCCATCTCTTCCGTTTTTCCTGCGGCCAGAAGAAGACGGTGCCTCTCCACGTGCAGCTTCCTGGACGAATAGGCGCTGTTTTCATCTACTTGTATCGAGAGTGGTAAACATCTATCATCCTACATCTGATGGATGAACATTTGACCTGGGTCCTCTCTCCTTTTGGTGATTTCTTACGCCACTTAATTTGCTCTCATTTGCCTTAAGGACATGCTGTGGGCGTATGAATCTCCTCATTACTCATAGTACCTTAATGTTTACCCTGATTTTAGCACTGTGGTGCGATTCAGTCGAATCCTTTATCCTCTTATTTCATGTGCTTGTTATTCCGGTACTTCAATTTATCTCGAAATTGTGAGGGAACAAAGCTTCACCAATACCTCACCTGCATAAACTGTCACTCAAAAGTGCGGGATAACCTCCTAGAGTCTGACATCCAACTGATTTCTCCCTTTCTTCTCCAGGTATTTAACTCAGTCTACTGGATTGGTTTCATCTACCTCCTCTGGCCATTAGCAGCGCCTTTTGTGAAGAAGGTCTTTCCACCGAAGTCGCGGGCCGAAGTCGTGAAATCGGAATCCTAGAGACCACTTTCCCCCCCCCCCTCCCTCCTCTACCTTTCTTCTCTTCAGGTGTTTCAGTGTGTGACGTGGAAAACTTAAGTACTGCCGGATCCTGGCTCGACTTCACTCGACGTGATGCTGTCCAGAACTTTTCTTTCTATTTTATTTTTAAAGGAGGCGTAAAGATCTCTTCCCTTGTTCGATATTCGTAAATCGGAAGCAGCTCTGCCTTATTGCATATTTATTGTGCTAACGTTTGGTGGGGGGAGAGGCTGAGCCGAGGGGCTATAAAACCGGTCAAGTTTTTTATAAAGTGTCTTTGTGTCAAGGGATTCGGCTCCATCTAATCACACTCATGCATGACCGGTTAACTCGTTAAATGTAAGGTTTAAAGGTTCTGGAGTGTAGTGGCTTTTCAAAGCTTTTTGTGCATGACGCCTCGGCGGGGCTGGGCGTCGTGACGGTTGTCCTCATCCTCCACTTACTCTAGTTACCATAGGTTTTACGTTTACGATGAATAACGCAAATACTGTGACTCGGGTTTTGCCTATCTGGTCCGTATTTGACTACTCAGGCGACAGTTTGAACTCCAGATTGTTCATTTGGTCTTTACTGGGTTAACTTAATGGACTTGGTACCTAACCACCTTTTGGCAGCCACAGTTCCTTCATCAAATTCCAAAATGAAGACTTGGTGATGTGTTGTCGCAAAGTCAAAAATTACGTAGCAAGCGTGACATCGCAACCTTTTTCTTACTCATATGGCAGGTAATCAAGGAGACAGCCACTTTCTCCGGTTAGATGTGCATACTTTGGCAGATGGGGCTTTTAGTGTCATTTGATAGGTAATAAGTCCACACCCTAATTATTATCTATCGTGCCCACGTGCTATCTACCCCTTCACATTTATTCAAAATGTGTTTTTTATTTGTAGGTACTCATGCTGTCTGGAGAAGACGTCATATTGGGAGTAGGACATGTGTTAGATACCATGATGTCACACGTGGTTTGACATATTCATTTACTAGAAGAGTAGGAGTGAATGAGAGTGTGTGTTCGTATTCGAAACGCTTCCATAAGGGAGGCAATTATTTTGATAGCAGTGCCCTCAGGATACTATTAAATTAAAGTTATGGCTATTTTATTTGCTCCACTGCTGCCGCTGCTATCATTTCTTCACAGGAAATTCACATTACTATACATAACACATTGCAAAGTAAATGGAGGCCTGAGGAGCATGGACATTCTAAGTCACCTTATCTGTCTCAGTTATCTATAGTGATAAAGCAACCAATTACACCGATTGTTACTTCTCAGCTTTATCAAGTTGCGTCAGGAACCTCGATTCCAACATAAACGGACCATGAATTGACATTTCGGATTATTTAAGAGCAAAGACGATGAAACACATAAAGAGTGGAAACACATAGCTTCACATTTATTGTAAATAAAGAAACTTGTGCTTTAGTCCACCCTTGATGTCCAGCAGTGTCGAAAACACAAACCACCTAATTAGCCGTGGCACATTTTTCGAATATTTAAAAAAAGTGCTAGGCAGTAGAGCCCAGCTTCCGTATCAAGAATGTTTTTGTCAAGCTAAAATCATGGATAAAAAGCATTAAAAGACTGCCATAACTTCATTTGATTAGCAGATCGGCATATGATTTCGCAAACTCCTAAAATTAGGCATTTTTTAATAATTGTCATTAAGATTGCGATTAAAAATATTTAAAAATAAAATTTTTTTCAACAAAATTAAATTTTTTAATTTTATTCTTAATTTGTTTTATTCTTTCATCACGGTAATTTCAACTTGTTTGCTCCGAAATAATTGGTTTATGGCCTTTGGTTGTTGCTGTTGTGCTATTGGTTAGCAGTTCAACCAATTAATTTTGTCCTATCCCATTAGTAGTAATTGTTGGGTCATTTGGCCTTAGTCGCGTTGTCGTGCGGTTTGGAAGCTGATGAGGAACTTGAAGAAACCACAGTATTCTCTCGTAATTTATTTTTTTGTCTTATTTAACTCTTCCTTCAGCGCAAATCGTTGACAAAAGGTAAACACTCTATGTCCGTTTCAAGGGCTCCAAATACACCGAATAGAAACATGGGTCGTGTGACTAAGGATGAGAAAGCAAAGACAGGGATTAAACGAACTCGTGGTAGACCACGCACGAAGGACCTGAAGTCTGCACCAGTGGCAAAACGTCATAAGCCCTCTAGTGCAAGTTCTGCCAATGGTGCAAAAAGTCCTCAAAGGGACACCAGTTTGAGTCCAACACACCAAGAACCACCTCAGCTCGAGCCAATGCCGGCTGTGGATGAGGATGATGACCTTGACATTCCAATTAGCTTTCCCTCTCTTATTTCTGTTGACGATCATCTTCGTCCGGGAAAGTGTATTGTGATTTGTCCCTTGGCAAATTGTCGCAAAAAGTTTTCCAATCCCATTGAACTTGTATCACACTTACGAATTTATCATGAAAATGACACCTTTTCATCAATGAAAATTTATACTTGCCCTATTTGTCTTAAAACACGTTTCAGTTCACACACTACCAGTTCCGATCTGACTCTACTCTCAGAGCATGCGGCACGCTATCATGGACAAACTCTGAAACAGGTAACGTTACCTGTCTTGGTATTGTTCTTAACTTCTTCTTCAGGCTGAGTTCATCTACTTTTGTACCATCGTTTTGGACGTTGTAACTGGCGATAAGGCCACGCAAAAGAAGGAGGAAAATAATCTTCTAAAGAAGGAGGCGAGTTGTATGATCCAACAGCCTAGCTCAGACAGTCAATATTGCCCTATTCTCCCTCTAGTGCCTAATTCTACTGCAACAGAAATGCGTGCCGGTAAGTCACCTTTCACCTTAGCCTTGTAATCGCATTCATTGGTTTTGATCAACCAGCATTCGTAGTCTTTTGTCAGTGCACTAAGTTGCGTTCGAGCGGATTTTTCATAAAGTTTTCATTCTTCATGTTATTTATAGTAAAATACTGGAGGATGTTTTCTAATTTGTCATTACTCACTAGACGAGCTAATTTACTGGAGATATGGAAGGACTGCTTATTCAATGTGGAAACTGTTGTTTTCAATCACTTGGCGTGAGGAAATTTGCTCAATTCTCATTCACCTGGGTGACATCAAATTTCCTTATGCCTACAGCCATGTACTCATTCTGAAGCTTGGGTAAATTGAGCTTGATCTCGAACGAAAAGTTAGGGTGCTTGGTTTCTATCGCTCTCTCCTTCTCTCTATCATTTGCTGGTTTCACAATTTCGAGGCGCCACCAATCACACGCCTCGAGTTCGCTCCAGCCAATTGGCGCTGTCATTGCTACGCGCATGTACCAATGACATGCATGCGTTCAATTTTCTAGTTCACCTAATCCCCTAATACGTGTGTGTATGTATGTGAGTGTCTATTCAACAACCAGCATTCTCGTCTCGTCGTCATGGCACATTCCCTCTGTACATCGTATTGCGAGTACTTTATTTGTTTTCTCATCAAATTTAAAGGCTTACAAACACAAATGGCGATAACGTTTACCACAGGCTGAATAGTAAGATAGTAAGGCGTCGAAAATAAAAATGATCATTTCTCTACTCACTCGTCAGGTCTTCCTGGAATGGGCCTCCAATTTGGGTTTTTACCGCTGCAGCAGGTGCATCCATTCACCTGTTTGTCGCCTGATGCTACATTCAGTTTCTTCTCACTTGTTTTTGGTCTTCTCTCTTTTGCGATTATAATTTGAAGTTTTCAATAGTTTTTTATTTTGCTTTCAAAAAGTGGGAAATGACAAGCCGGCTTCAGGTAGTTGTCTTTTTGAGCTGGAGGATAGGCGTGAGTAAGTGGCAGATTGACCCGTGCTTATCCCTCCATTTCGTGACCTGACCTTACGGAGGTTCGTTTTCATCTCCCTTGGAACGTTGTAAGTGGCTAGGCCTTGGTTTGCTCAAACTCAACTGGGCTATGTACTCATCTGAGAAACAAGTACCTCCTCTGCGATCACCTTACCTATGCTCCAGATGTTTAGCTAAATTTTTTAAAACGGTTTTAAAAATTGTTTACAACTGTTTATTGGCTTACCAAGATCCTGATTTACCTATCTAGACTGATTAGACTTTAGTAAGACAGATTTTGTAATTCTACTTTTCCTAAACTTCTATGGTTATCACTAATAGCAACAATGAAAATACATGACTTTTTAAGATTCTGAACTCGACCCTGCTTTATTTCTGAGATTAACTGACTGACTGGCCGCTTGATGGTCGGATTTCTGTGACGCATACAACTCTCGCTGCATGCATATCGTGGAGTAGCTCCAACAATCCGGTATAAAATTGTAATACTGTGTACTTCTGCCAATGTGAACTTCTAGCCTAAAGCGTTCAGCATTTGTGGAAGTGCAATTTGCAAATTGCTCACTTTTTGAGCTAGGTCATTATTTTCTTCATTTATTTCACCGGTATATTGCTGTACTCTAGCTTTGTTTTGTTTTCTCCCAGTCTCAAAGTCTATCTTACTTCATGATTGTCACTTAAAAATAGGTCTTTGTTGCTTTGAAATTGGCCCACTTAGACCATTTTACCCATGTGTGTTGATTGATGTCACATAGTGTGTCAATTCGCATCAAATATGCCATTATGTTCTCTCCTAATCTCCTGCATTTTTACTAAGCCGTTTGATATTATGCATTGTTAGACTTTACTTCTGTCTGCTGCTCTGGCAAAAATATTCCCAACTCATAGGTACACCATGATAATTATACATTTTCCTTTTCCCTGCCTCAAGTTGTCATTCATGCTCCGATTAAAAAGTGTGGAGCCATGCCTTTCTCGAGCTTCGAAAGGTAGTTCAACTTTTTTTCTGCAATCATTCTTGTCTGATGTACACCTTTTTCTGAGGTGTTACTTTTTTGACTTCATACGGCGACCAAATCATTACTGACTTGCCTGCATTTGCAACTGAAATGTATCCTCCACTCATCTCTTACAACACACGACTTCACTTACCAGGTAGCACCCTAGATCCACAACTTTTCAGCTCATAAATGGATTGTCTGCTTTTCGACAATCGTTTATGATCTCTGTATGCTTCTTTCTAATGCTCAAATTAACCTTACTGTGGATTTTAACTTTCATTCCCCAACCGTTGTGTCTGACGAAGAAGATTTCCACTTAGCCAAGGATCCAAAACGTTTGTTTCACGGTCTTATCAGTTTGATTAATTTTTCCAGCCATGAGAGTGATGGTGGTGTTTGTCGTCTGTAGCTTCGTCTACCACCTCGCCTCAGAGCCAATGTGAAGAGTGCGTGTTATGCGTGCACAACTAAACTGCGCACTCGCTGGTGCGCACGTATGTGTGTGTTGCTCAACACGTGTGTCATTGGCCCCTGCCTGAGGCTTGCCATCGTGGTGACACCGATTTGCCTTCTGATTGGTCTACAGACAACCAATTAACGCCGAAGTTGTCTTTTCTTATTAACCCTTCTATCGACAGGGCCTAGCAGTTTTTGCTAGCAGTGTTTTTCATTACATATGAGATTATCTAGCAATTTAGGAGTCGTAGGTTGCTAAACTTATTGGTTTTAAATGGGAATGGGCATTGTTGTTGTATCACATTCGTTACGGAATTTGGGTTGGCGATAGCGACACTTACTTGCCTTATTGACGCCCTACTCGCACGAGTCACGTAGCACTTGAGTAAGTAATTAAATTGCATGACTTGACCCAGTTTCTGCCCTTCAGGGTCAAGCTAGGTGCACATACTTCTATTTCTCGAAAACCTTTGATGCTATTAATTTAATAACACCAGCTAGTTTGCCTAACATCTATCTAGCATCTATTCCACCATTAAAGAATATGCATTTGGGCGTCTTATTAGGAAAAACATGTCCCTCAAATATGCCATCAGGAATGTTCAAGTATATGAATCTTATCACTTCCTCGCAAATTCGGCATGACAACCAATTGACTGGACGCTTCACCGCGTCATTGATTGGCTGGTTGCTGGGACAGTTGGCCAATCAGTTGAGCCTCTCATCCGGCGCTCTCTGTTAGCAAGTCACGTTTGTTTACTGCCAAGGGAAACCCATGGGCATTATGCGTTTATGTGCAGGCGTGGGTGCTGCGTGCGTGTGTGCTTGTTGGTAGGTCAAAAGGTCTAAATGCTACGAGGTCTATAATCATTTAGCCGAAATTCAGCCTTAACCCTAATTTTTATGCGTGCGAATTGGAAACCTTTATCTCATATCCGTTCAAATTTGGCTCTCTTCCCCTCCTTCCATGTGCTTCCCTTTCGGCTGAGACTGAAATACGCATAAGCATGGCTGTAGCACCCATAGGCCAAAGCCAAACTAAGTCAAGCGGGAGGTGGGAATAGTTGCTGACTAGTTTTATGTAAAAGTGGGGAAGGTGGTAATCGTTGTAAATTTGTTCAAACTCAGTAGTATATCACGTCGATTAGTGCGTTTTTTTTTTTACATCGCGTGATTTGCCGCCTTGTTTAGTTCGATGGCACACAATGGCATCCAATCACAAAGACATAGATGTGACCTCAAATCAACCAATCAATTTACGATGTGGAGGCTGCCACTATCAACACGCTCGCCTAAATCATAGGTAAAAAAAAACAAGCCTACAATTTTAATTTCTATATCTGTTTAGACGTGGATTCGACTAAAGTTGCGCGCGTTACAACGGACAGTCTAGGTCTTCGAATGCCTTCTACCGCGGGTCATTTCATCCAAATCTCCCCAGTGTCACAACGTCCCGTTAATAGTACTGTCAACACCGCTGCTGCCTGTTCTACAGCTCCTCAGCCGGTGTTTGCTGCACTGGCAGCTGTTGCGGGTCAGTTGTCAACTGGGGGGACACCGACCCTGCTTCTTTCCTCCACCCCTCCCACCACCGCTAGCAGCGTCACCTCTCCTGTCGCCACCGCCACAACCGCCTCCGAACAGCCCATTCTTATAGCTCCCACTGGTGGCATATGTACCGCCTCCAATTCGGCTAAACCCCTTCCAGGTCGGTTTGAATTAGCCGCGCGTTAGTAAGTAGGCAAATCAGTAGGTTGGTATTTGTCAACGCTTTACATATGTGCATGCGTATGTGCGCGTATTTCTGCACCGCTCTTCCATTGGTCGTGGTATCTGATGCCAGCAGTTGTTGCAACGGCTGCTGTGATTGGTCTACTGCTTATCCCTTCCTCCCATTGGCAGAAGAGCGTGTATGGCTGTGTGTGGGTCGCGCGGTATCTAATGCGTAAAGAGCCCAACGCGATCGGTGGCTTTGCCATCGCTTAATCACAGTTGCCTTTGAATTGCTCTTTTTTCACCTCTTAGTTCATAAATTATGGATCTTATTCCACTATTCTGAGTGGGGGCAAAGTAGCCACTTGGTATCTGGGATATCCATTGTGATTTTTTGTATTGGAGGTAAATAAAGTAACGACGACCTGTGCATGAAATCCGTTTGAGTAAATTACGCTAAGCAGCGGCACCATGCTACTTGCCAATTTGAGTAGTTGTGAAATTGACACTGGTACACGTGCAGATTAGGGCATTTAGAAGTCAAGCTCTCCCATCTAGTCTAGTATATCCCGCCGACGGGAGTTCTCATTTGCTCTCAGCTCCACTATCCCTCTTTCTGTTGTCATTAATTCTACGAGTATGCACGAGCTTGTCCTCAGCCTTTGTGATAAATGAAAGTTATGCTTTCTTGAAAGACGATGGAAAATAGGTAGTAGCAATATTGCGATGCCCTCACACAGAGGCTGTGTTGCCAAAGCGCAATAAGCTGCTCTTGTTTATGCGTACAGTATTAATATATTCGTCTTACAAATGCTTCTGATTGACACTTTAAACTACGGCCTTTAAATGACGATGTTCTCTCAATCCTCCCCTCTTCTGCAAGTGTTAATTACCTCCTCATCAACTGCCCAATCGTCTCCATCAGACGCTAACCAGGCAAACACATTGACCTCTTCACTACAACCACAGTCGTCCAGTGCAGCAGCTGCCATAGCGACACTGAAGCAGCTCATTCAATCCGCCTCAGCCGCCGTGAAGTCTCACCAGTCCTCCCCAGTGGTGGCCCAGGGCTCCACCTCGGTTACTTGGACTCCTGCTGTAGTCTCCTCGACGGCTAATACCTTGTTGTCCACTCTACCTTCCGTACAAGCCGCTACTGTACAGCCTAGCAGCACTTGTGGTGAGTAATTTACTCTCCTAGACAGTGAAAGCCATCTTTGTTCATTTTTTTTGCATAAATCAGAGATTATCAGAGCATTCCGTTCAGGTCTCATTATCAAATTCTGCTGCTTAAACTCTTTTTATTGCTTTTATGAAGCAGAATATTTGTCACCATATATGAGGGCGTTTCCACCACTTTAAACCGTCTGCCTTGTATGCAGAATTATAATCCGAGTTTTTGGTTCTGCCCTTTCATTATGTACATGAATTGGCGTTTGCTAAGGACTTTAACGATTTCCACTTCCTTAGTCGCTGATGGGCAGTTCAGCTGTCAATAAGGTCACTTCGTTCAAGTGAGCATTCATTCAGTCCCTTCGCGGTTGGACTAACAAGCCTTCATCTCTCCCACAAAACCGAAATTCCACACAAATCACTTCTTTTTATGCTAGCATTGGGAGCATTAGTAGTGCAGTCCATGATTGCGGTACCATTTTTGTTTCCAAGTTGTTCCGTAATGGAGACCAAAGTAACGATAATTTTACATGTTTGATGTTGTTCTCTCCTTTCACCTCATGACCTACTTTTCACCCCCTCCTCCATCTTTTCGTGGTTGTACTCTGACATGTTTTGGCACGCATTTTTCACCCCTTCCCCCGCCCCCTTTTGCCTCCAGGGGTTCACTGTGTTTTAAAAGCTCAAAACTCAAATGTCGCTTTCCTTTCCGCACTTTTTTTTCAACTTATTTTCAATCCGTGTGTGTGTGTAAATCATGATAAAAGGTCGTGGGAGCTTGACCTTGACACCAAATTTCGACACCTGCTCGTGTAATATAGCCGTGACAGATCTGAAACCTCCGATCTCCTGATTTGTTTTGGTTAACTTTCTGGCAAAAGAAGGGGAATTTAACGCTGGTAGGATCTTTTAAGATTTGGTCACTTTATTGACTACTGAGGCCATAGGGTTGCCAAACTACAGTTTGACAGAGAGTATGTTGAGGCCAGAATTCAGTAATTTCAGTAAAACTTGTCATTTTGAAAAACATCCAAAGACGTTGGAATTAAATACATTAAAGTTTTTTTTACTGTTTTTCTAGCGGCCAATGTGGTGACAAAAGTTGAACAGCCACCTACCACCCCAATGGGCTATCCATTTGTTCAGGGAGCCTCCATGGTGACCTCGCCTGGACCAGAATTAGACTCCAATTCCGATTTAAGTTCTTTCGCCTCCGCCAATGCTGATCTTCTCACTTTGGCACGCCTGTCAATTAACCAGGCCTCTGCTGAAGCCATCAACAACATCAGTAGTAACAATTCCATAAGCAGTAATAATAGTGGCGGTGGAAGTGTTCAGGAGATCCCACCGTCCCTTCCTCCACCACCGCCACCACCGTCTCAACCGAGCCAGTCAACAGCGTCTCCTGCTCCACGAAATCGTCGTCTCCTTCCGCGCAAAACGACTTCCGCCACAGCCACCGCCTCTGTTAGTACTCCCATTCTTCTTCGTAAACGTGTTGCTCTCCCACCACTGGCAGTTAAACCTCCAAAGGAGTCCACAACTTCCACGGTGAATGCCACAACACAGCCAACACCGACAGCTACCCAACAGCCAAATCCACTGACATCTGCTCACCCAACGCTTGTCGCCGGCGGTGGTGGTATAGACGGGGTGACAGCCTCGGATGAGGCACCGGTGATGACTGCGGCCTTGATCAACCCCTCCTGTTCCTCTCCAGCCACCACCACTCTCATTCCCTCAAGTCTGGGCAGCATGTTGGCGAAGTCGCGGTTGTTGCAAGCCAGCGCTTCGCCATCGACCTATATCAGTGTGCAGCCCCGGCCTACTCCACTGTCTGTGGTGTCTTCTGTGAGTAACCAACATCAGCAACCGTCGTATCAACCGCAATCACAGCAACAGCAATCGCAGCAACATCTCATTCAGCGGGTGGTGCCCACTATTCGACCTGGTAATTTGGGCATTTGTGTTTCATTTATTGGATATGACCATTTGATTGCCTTTTGCAATCATCATCTTTGTAATATCATTGAGATTTGGCCTAGAAGGCGTTAGGGGCCTGTGAAATAAGGTTGACACATTATCTGCTACGGTTATCTTGTTTCCGTGTGAAGGAGAATTCCTTTGGTAAAACACGTATTGAGGTGGCTTCCTGCTTCAAAAGGAAACACCACCGACAGATATGATCATTCACCCTCTTTTCTCTATTATGTCCAATTTCACAGCAAACATGAGTACGGTAGGATTTAAATGTCTTAATCTGAAGCTCTCGATGCACTGGACGTCTTCGATTAATTAAAAACTTCATTTAAATTTTGGTCTTGGTTATGTGACTACTTTTTTTTATTGAGTTTGTGCGTCCAGTTAATCCGAGGTTTACATTGGGGTCATCATGTAAGAATTAATGTTTATTTAGTCTACCTTCAATTTCGCCACATTTTTAGCTCCCCTTCAAAAGATCCTTCCACGGCCCAACACCACTACTACCCCAGTCTCCACTCCCACCCCTGTCTCCGCACCTGTTACTTCCACATCCAATGCCACCGTCGGCGGCAAGGAGTTGCGGCCGCTGCTCTACTCAGTCTCAGCACCGCTGATCGCTCAGGCACCAATCACTGTGACCACGAGTGCTGTTGTCACGGCACAAGCGGGTAGTGCTGGTGTCGGTGCGATAGCCTCCACACCCGTTTCCACCACTACCTCCATCAACACTCCAATCAAGGCATCGACAACAGTCTCCATCTCACAGATCAACGGGAATGGTGCTGCGGTGACCACTATGATTTCCAGCACCGCCACCGCCATCACCACCACCAATACTGTGACTACAAACAACTCTGCATCATCGGATGAGGGACCTAGTGCTCTGGTCATCTGCACCTCGCCTTCCGAGTTGAAGTATGTTGGCTTGACAAGTTAAAAGTCTTGACTGCTTCCTACAAATCAAGGAGGTGTATTCCCCCTTTACCTTCAGAATTTAAAGTAGCCCTTTGTTCCTGAATGCTGTTGGTCGATACCTTCAATCTGGATGCGTGGACTTAACGCCATGCCTTATCGCTAAGACCGAACGAGAGTTCGTGTGGGACCATAGATAGGCTCTTTAAAACGCAATACTTAGGTTGGAGGCTAAAATTAAAAGTGAATTATTTCGGATTTCTGTCGCAAGGTAGATAAAGAAGATAAAATGTAGTCGACTTTTCTGTCCCTTTTTTAGCATTTCCACGTAACACCACGAGGCCAGAGGTAGTGTTCGGACCAATTCCTTACTCAGCCACCCACTCCTTTGACACTTGGCGCTCAGCTGTCTGTCTGCCTTCACAGCCACCATCACCACTACTGCTATAATCTTTGTACAGCCCCCCTCCCCCCTTGCTCTCTGCCACCGTACATCCTAACAACGAGACACGACGCCATCTTGATGAATGTGTTTTGATGGATTTGTAGTCCCTCCTTCCCTTGTGGTATTTAGCCATCCTCCTTTCCCTTTACACCAGTCAAAGTTGTCATTCACTCACTCACCAATATTTGAGCACAAATGCAGCACATATACAAACACACACGTTTACTCTCGTACACACTGCCTACATCCCACCTCATTCAGAAGCCTACCGTATGGGGGTGTACACGGCCGAATGTGGGTATCTGAGTGTGTGACGCTTCATATTTACACAGTTTGTGAAACCTAGTAATTACTGTTAATGGTGATGGTGGTGGTACTGATGTGTGTGTCTAGTTCTCTTAGTGTACACTCTTGTGAACTCGCTTTGGCTCTCTGATTCACATATGTACATGTGAGGAGGAGAAGGAAGAGGAAAAAGAGGAGCAAAGAAGCGAGATAAATATTTTTACGTCAAAGTCTTGTCTTATCACTTTTTCTTTCTTTTTCCCTTATTTGCAGTGTGAATTTTGTGGTGCTGAGTCATTCAGTGGAAGGGTTTATGGGTTGCTTTCAACATCAGTAATTACTTTCGACTGTGGGTTTATCTGATTGGTCCTGGAAGGAGTGCAGCCAAATGTGGGATTTCCCAGGTATTTTACTCCACCTTGATTGGTTCCTCAATTGGCCAATGAGTGGTGGCAATGCAACATTGATTCGAAGCCTATTGGCGGTGCCTTGTTAATGACCAGGAGGGGATGATCGAAAGGACCCGGAATTGGATGACTATTTATGAAAGAAGGTCGGAATTGAGTAATTCCTCTATTTGCTATTAAAGACAAAGACGAGTCAAGAAAGTGCGCAGGGTGCAATTGTGCACGGAAATAGAGTTGTCTCTGAAGTCATGTAATCGGATTCTACCGAGGAGTATTGCGCACAGAGGAGGTTGGAACATTGACAGGTACTTCCTCTACTCTATGCCACAGTCGAAACGAAAAACACTGAAAAGTACTCCGAATTAACTTGCTTTATTTTCACAAGGGACGAAGTTCACGTTTGCCCGTTTTTAAAGGGTCTAAGGATGGGTCAAAGCGATGGTTTCAAATCAAATGGGTTAGTGGTATATAAATCCGATTGGCCACATCATGATGAAGTCCTGATTTTTAACTAATCCTGATTAGGCTATGCACCGGTCAGTAAATCTTGTGACCTTTATTGACTTGATTCCAGCTAGCACGGACAGCAACGAGAATTTGTTAGTCTTAGACTGTTGTACTAATTTGATGAGATTCGTAAAACCCATGGCAATAATACAGGTACTATTAACGATATTCATAAGTGGCTTCTGATTAGACAAGGTTACTTCAGTTTGCCCACATGATTGGCTATTTCATTAGTCAATTATAATATTAAATCACACCTACTAGATGAATTACGGAATGGCAGATTAAATCTTTCCAAATTTCTTAACCTAAATGAGACGAACAATGGACGCTGAACAAATTATTGGTCATTTAACATTTTCACAAACGAATTCCCAATTTATGAGGAGCAAATACCTAATTTTACGTAGAGAAATAATCTAAACTCAAAAATGTCAAAACGGTGAAACATCAGAGAGCCATCGATGGAGGCTCCACTCCTTGCATTTGACAACCCCACAACATTACTATTGGTCGAAAGCCCCCATATCTCATCCAATCACACCTCCCTACCAAGGTCAACTGCCCGAGGCAGAAGTAGACAGCCTATGCTTGAAGATATTACACATCCGCATAGTTCATTGATGAAAGATTACAAAAGTTTTAAGGAGTATTAAAATCTTTTCCTGAGAACCAAAGTTGAGTTAAAAAAATTTAAAGGACACTTCGATTGAGCCACACAGGCGAATCGCGAAAGGTGACGGAACAGAAGGATGCATTTTTAAGACAAGTCGATTGAATTTTCTCAAATTCTAAAATGCTGACAACGTTTTCTCCGCAGATCAGCATGCTGGAGGGTACGTAGAGACTCACTTGTGGTCCCGCGGAGGGATAGAATCGACCCACAATGTGACCGTTCACCGCCAAAACACCCTATTCAAGAGAAGCAATAGGCGGTTGAAAGCGGATTAGTCAACGTGTGAACTTGCAACATTCAATCACACCAGAAAGCTCATGGTCACCACCAATGAAATTTCACCATGGCTTCAAAGGTCACAGAAACTGTTTTGGTTATCGTATGATTACAGCAAATCAAGAGTAATAACACCGTAGAGTGAGATTTTGCCACTTTAATACAAGTATTAGCCACTAGGATATGAATAAATAGACTGCAAATTTCGGTATCTGCGTCAAAATCGTCATGTTGCCTTGACTACTTCCCAAATGTTTAGTGTTGCCAACATGAGAAATAAATTTCATCAACTCTAGAAACACGTTAATTTTATCGCATATGCGAATGTAAAAGAAGGGCGCATGCACAGTGAAAGACACATAAAGTGCAGTAGGCACGCCTACGCTGTTAATTTTCCCATTCAAGCAACCGTGACACTAAACTTGATTGGACCAGTGAAGCAGGAGGCACCACCCTCAAGGTACAAGCCAACCCAAGTCAAAAGATGACTTACGCGAGTAAAACCAGTCACCACAGCAAACGTATCCATTGGTGGAAAGGGTACGTGAAAGACACCTTTGTAAATCGCTCCAGGAGCAGGAAATGCTGTTCCCTCAGTATTGATACGTCTTAGTGAAGAAAAGAGAAAGTATGACATAATCCAGTAAGTAGAGAATCTCAAACAGATGAAAAATGACCTAGGAAGGAAACTTGGACAATTACCATTAACCGTCAAAGCGAAGTAGGGAAGATACATGAAAAAACTAAATCTATGCAACTTCCTTGACTTTTCTTAGTCTGAATAAAAATACGCTAACACACTTTTAAAATACAAACTAGTCACATTGGATCAGGTGGGTTGACGGTCCTGAAATCGAGCGCCTTCATCACCCAGTTGAGCAATTCCTTCCCATCCAACAGAACACGCCCAACTATGCCCTGAAAGAGGGAAAACATTGGTTTAATTTACTTTGTAAAGATTACCGTCAAAGCCTAAGTGCCTAAAGATATCGGAAATGTTATGGTCCTAAAACTCAAAACCAAGCCTTAATTAATAATCGTATTTTTTGCTGAATGCAAATAAACTTTGTAGAAATAATATCCCTTGTTTCATTATTTCGGTAACTAGATATGTTCAGAGGAAAAAGAACGCTAACATCGGACCAGGATCATGCAGCATGATTCCGACCTATTTGTTTTAAGGGAGGCCTAACCTTGATGTCACCAAACATAAGAGGACCGAAGTTGACATGACCCCTACACTCCGTGACAATGATGAGGAATGGGTGCTCCTTGTCCACAGTAATGTTCAAGCTACCACATCCGGAAACCGATCCATGGAAGATCTATTTTGAAGGTGTAATTAAATAACACAAACCATAACACCTTACGATTGATCCTGCCCGGAAGTCAGTTGTAAATACCAGCCCGGTATCCTTGACTCCCTCAAAGGTCAAATTTGCCTTGCCCTCATCGTGTTCCAGGATAGCGGTATAAGCCATCAAGCCCTGGTACTGAAATGCATAATAAGTAGTTAGTAGGAGATGAAATTTGTGGCACTCAAAGTACCTGTTCGAGCGCTTCCATGTAGAGGGGTTTAAAAGAGGCAACGCCTCCTTGTAGGTCGTAGAGTAGGTGTGAGAACTAAAAGAAAAGCATATACACCTATACAGCCCTTCCAAACTACTGACGATTTTGGACTTCAGCAGTAGTTCATGGGATCGGAAAGCACTAAAAATTTTAGATTACAGTTTGGGAAGATAACCTTTTGATATCGCAAAGGGTACTGTAAATAAAGCTAAAGCATGAAAAAATGGTAGAAAAATTATCAAACATCTAAGTGCTTAAGGAATGTGATCCAATTTGAAAAAAACAAGGAGCAAGGATGTACCAAAATTGATATAGACACTAGGAAAGATGCGAAATCACTCACAAAATTCAGTCCAATTACGCCGTAGTGGGCTTTAGAGATATTGACTGGAATAGGAGGTGGAACCTGTTGCTTCAGCTTTAAGAAAATGCAAAAGGTGAACACAGACATGAGGTGAAGACATATTGAGGGGGAGGGGTGGCGATGAAGCACCTACCCTGTAAAATAGGTCTCGCAGAATAAGGTACTTGGCAGTAATGTCACCGGCTTCAGAGATTGGAGCGTCATAATCATAGGAGGTGATTATGAATTCGGTCGGTGAATTGGCCCCGCTCCAGAGACCAAAATTGGTGCCTCCATGGAACATATAACTAGAAAAAAAAGCAGAAATTGTACTGCAACAAAGTAGCCTTTTTCCGGTCCAAAAGTGGGCATCTGTCAAAGCTTTGTTCTCGCGATTTTGCAATTAATATGAGGTACTCGAGCAAGTTTGTTTGGATTTTGTGAAAGAAAAAACTCTACAAAGTATCCTTCGACACTTTATCTGATAAAGTAAACATCCCACAAGTACGCAATCCTTTCATAGCCATCACCATCAATCGGAGAAGTGGCAGAGAACTAGAAAGACGAGACAATATCAGCCATTCTACCCCATCTCAAACTATTTACCTTCTCACGACTAATTTTGGCGGTGAGAAGCCTTACGTTGCGTTGCCCTGTTTTTAAATGAACTTCTCTTCCGCATCACTGGGTCGCACCAAGCAGGGAGACCCCAGTGGTAAATGTGCTACATGCATATATGTATGGATATAAAAGTGTAAACTGCTTTATCGCTTATGTGAGACACTACTGAAAGTTGCTTCAGGCATGTTAAGCTTGGATTATTTATTCCATAATTCCCGATGACTAAATAAAGGAGAGGGTTTCCTCAACCTGATGGATCACCATTCTTGTTTTGATGCCAGAGCCAAAATGTTTCTTCGAGCCACTAGTAACCGACAAGTTTTCCTACTGCACACTTCACCTTTTTCAAATGATTTGAGAAACATCGAACGATAAGCCCGTACAGCTCTGGAATCAAGCTAAAGTTGGTTCATAAAGCAGACAAGCCTAAATCACATCCATCGAGCTCAACTAACATACAAACACACATAAACAATCGCATGCACTTCAGGGAGGGAGTTATACCGGAAGCCACATAAAGTATATTGATTACAAGGCATCCTTTCTAGTTTTTACCAATCACTGGTGTAAATAAAAGATTTAAAAAATTGAGGGAACATCAAACGCAACACAAATCACACGGTAGTATCTTTGAGTGTTTCACATCAAAGCAAGCTCATAAATCACCTGGTTCTGAATGAGGACACTGCAATCTGTGAGATGTTTACAGACCGAAAGAGCCTGTCAAACTGTTTTAGGCGCGTCGTTATGCACACCAAGTTAAAAAAAACACCGAAATTTTAGTCAATTAACGAAACCGATGCTGCATTAATGAAGAATTGATTGGTTCAGTACAACCAATAGCAGCACAAAAAGTTCAGTTAGAACCCAGAAAGTTTGATTGCGCAGGAAAATCGAAGACAACCCTCACTTTGCTATCAAAAAAATAAAGCATTGATCAAAGAATCCGTCTCTTCTAAATAGAATAATGCAACCTCATGCTCCAGCTAATTAAATTCATAGAGTGTTTAAGCAGTTGTGCAAGCTCGTACTTTAAGAATATATTTGAGATTGAGATAAGAAATAAGCTCACATGTTAAAGCTGACACCTTGCGACATATTCCAGAGATTGAGTGCTCCCTCTGCCACCGCATTGGCGTCGACTACGTGACGTTTCTCACCCCAGTGATCCAACCATCCCGAATAATATTCACTGTTGACCTTCAAAAAACCCCAACGAATTGTTTATTCAGATCTCGCTTTTTCAAACTACGAAAAGACTCTTTTTATAATACTTTAAAGCATTAGTTGCTGGAGTCTTCGGGAAAACGTAGCTAACACGAACCACAACAGATCTGTTTGACTTAAGTCACGCAGCCAGAAAGTAAAAATTAGGCTGATAAGGGAATGCCCATTTTAGATTTGTCAGTTCCAGAGATTAAGCATCGTGTCCCGCAGGAAAAGGATCATGAGCAATCTGTTTTAGCCGTACTTTCAACTAATAAAATGCAAAAGAAGCTAACCGCAGTTGTTCAATTTTTACTGCCCAAGGTCATGAGAACCTACTTACAACGAAAATGTAAGATTGAAAGAGTATGACTGCACCAGGAAATGGTTACCTCTTCCAAGTCCTCAATAACAACTGATGAACGGCTACACTCATATAGGATAAAATGGACTAGAAATTTAGGCATTTATAGTCATCCACATACCAAGGGTCCATGGGGTTGGAATTGTTGGAGAGCTTTGAATGAGTCATTTGGGTGTTTGGCTTAAAAAGGTTAAGCAATTGTCAGTAGAAAAATGTGTTTAAATGTAAAAAATAGGAAATGAAAATACCTTCATCAACACCGAAATCAACGGTTGCAAACAATCTGCGGTCTGATGAGCCACATCTCAGCTCGATCATGTTGTTTCCGTCCGTTGTGTACAGGATTATCTCATCGCCAAGAATGAATCTGGCATACTCGTAAAGTGCGGATAAGTACTCCTGATCACAGGTGAAATAGGATCCATATTCGTTTTCCAACTACAACAGCAACAATAACCTCAGAAAGTTACTGTTTTTTGGGTACTAAGAAAAAGGAAACGATATAGTACTTGGATCATAATTATGGGTCCACCATTTTGATAAATTAGTGGCTTCAATTTAGGGAGTAACTGACCGAACCATCGAATAACAGGCTTGAGGTATTCTTGAAAAAACAAAAAAGGCTGCCATTATTCTCTTTGGACACAGACGAGAGAAAAAAAGTAGAGGTGATCACCTGGATCAGAAGAACGTAATTCCAGCTTAGGATTTGAGGATAGGAGCCAAGGTGGAAGTCCACCCTAAAAAAAGTGAAAAATAAACAGTTTGAGTGTTATAAAATGCAATAACATCTGAAATTTACTTACAAAATCCCATTCAGCGCAAATGTAAGGACCAGCCCTAACGAGAACAAGCAAACCTATCCTTTGGGCAAGGTTTATAAACTCAACAACGTCTCTTTCGTTATCGAAAAGATATTCACCAGGCTTTGGTTCATGAAAGTTCCAAGGTATGTAACTATGGTCAGTAAAGAGAAAATTGTGAGAACATTATGAGTAAATAACTAAAAATAATAAAGCATAATTAGGCATACATTTGAATCGCATCCAAACCGGCGCTCTTGGCTTTTAAAAGCCTATCCTCCCAGTAGATTCGTGGAATACGAAAGTAGTGCAAACTACCCGATATGTAACGGAAAGGCTCACCGTCTTTCAGAAATACACCATTCTCTTGGTCAATAGAGAATGTGTGCGATGACTAGTGTGGATTACTAGTGAAATCATGTTTACATACAGTAATGAAAAAAGAATTCCAACACAATAATAAGAACAGCAGGGCAGTGATGGCAGAAGCGAGGAGTAGAGGCCGAACAAGTATAGCATACACCGTCACTGGGTTTCTTATATACTCATCTTGGAATCCTTTAGTTTCATCTATTTATATAGGGCTACTGTCGAAGAAAATTAGGTAAAACCTTCAATCCCGATATCCTTCGCGGACTTAACTTCGTTTTCCCTCGTAAACATATCCGAAGTATTTTTGGACATATTGGCTACAAATCTGCGCCATCCGAAGTCAGCAAAGGTCGCAACCAATAAAAAGGATTCAAAGTCATGTGGAGATTATACTTATTAGTGCAAATAAACTGAAATGGTCATTCTGAGTTGAATAGTTGCAAAATTACAACCTCACTTCCACAGCATGAGGTGATTAGTGAAGCACGAATTAACCTTATACCCATAATTGTCCAATTGACTAGATTCTTTAATTTCATGTAATCATTTCGTAGTTATAAAGTATATCAAAACGATAGATATGTCTTTAAATGTCAGTTTGTCCCCACGGAACTCGGAACTGGGGCGGATTTTCAATTCAGACTCCATTTCCAATCATATTACTAGGGACAGTCACAGACTGCTACATCCACCGCATACGTCCTTCGTCCGTCACGCCGAATTTTGGCTAACAGTAACAAAAATCAGTGTAGTCGCCAGTCAGGAAGAGATTTGCTTTCCGCCCCGTGAGACTTCCCCAAAGACGAAAGATCCCACCATCCTAGGGAAGAATATATGCTAT